AATAATCCCTCCAAAAAAAACAATAATAAAGAATTGGTCACTTTCAATCCACGACTGTTTGTGGGACATTGCTGTGCGCAATTGGCTGCCGCGTTCGCCTACAAATATACAGTCAATTCACTTTACAGTATATTCTGTGAAGCGCTTTGGGACATCCTCCCGACGTGAAAAGCGCTATATCAAATGCAAGGATTATTATTATTATTATCTCACTGCTTTATAAGCTGTCTCAGTTTTGCTGTGTTCGCCCTTTAAGACCATAACTGAAGAAGGTGAATCTTGTTCCGTGTACGTCATCAGTGGAGAGAAAAACAGAGATGGGAAAAAATGATTGATTGCCAATCTCAGAGGCACCGACACAGCCTCCAGGTAATGGACTTCACATTGTATCAATACCTGAATCAACAACATGCAATGGATCAAAAATGAAGCTTTAAGTAGAAGCAGGTGCAGTCACTACACTTTAAAGTAACCAGCTCTGCTCTGACAAATATACCTGACTAATAATCAGAGATCAACGACAACCTGCATTTATATAGCGCCCTTCATGCGGGGCAGTCTTAACAGTGGTGGAGCATAGCCTGGCACCAAGCCGGGGGAGGGAGATGGTGAGCGTAAGCACAAAGAGGAAGGTCTTCAAACGATTGCGTTGCCACAAGATCATGTTTAACTTGGTCTAAGCCTATCCAAATGCTTCGTCAAGTCTTTTAATTAAATATTCACAATCGCCATCTGGGTGAAGTCCTCTGGAGAGATTTCCTTTTCAGATACGATTCCTTTATCCCGGGCATCAAAGGAAGGTTTCCTTTTCCTTCAGGGATAGGTACAGAGGCTTGATAAAAAGAAACTCTCTGATAAGTTATGAATCTGTTGACTCCTCAACCTATCCCGCTGGACAGGCCTAACCTTTAAATCTTTGGTTTAAAGATAAAGGGAACATCTACACATCCAAGTGTTATTGATCAGCCAGGCAGGGTGGTCAACTCTCAAGAGTGCCCTGGGTGACTGTGGACCTTCCTGGCTTTACTGAGAGGACAGTGGTCACAGAGCTCACTGGTAATGGCCCACTCAAGCTGTTGGGTTGATGTTGCCGCTCGGCTTGAGAAGTAAGCATAAATAATGTAGCTGCTGTTTTAGAGGGTCTTTAATATTTTACAGATCAGAGCGACGAACACGCAATATGCCTGGGCACAAAACTCGTGAGTAGCTGCCAAACACATCCATGGCTGAATATCGCAGGATGCGGTGTAGATATAAGGAGCATCGAGAAAACAGGCAAAGACGATTGGCTCTTCCTCTCATTGCCTGTTCCTCCCCGACAACGCACAATCCAATCCCACCTCCCCGAGATGTGTTCCTACTTCATTTCCAAAAAGAAAATCAAAACTGCGGAATACACACATCAAGTGATTCTCCCTCAACCGCAGTCTTATCTGATGTGATATTTTCCCGCTCAGGGGAAAGAACCACAGAAAATAGTCATCAGCCCATCCAATCTACTCGTTTTTCTTTGCATAAACCACTTAATCTAATCCCGTTCTCCCGCTTGCTCTCCAATACCCCTTTGCTCTTCTTTAAAACATCAAACCAATTCCCTTTAATAAGAATCTCAGGACTTTTTCAATTCCACCCTCATTGTAACACATTTGCTAACCTGCCTTTCATTCCTTTTATCATTAACTTAAGTTTGTGCCTCTTGTTATTGACTCAGTGAAAATAATCTATCATCGCTAGTTACCTTATCAAAACCCTACATCATTTTTGAAGACTTCTATCAGGTTGTCGTTTAACCTTCTCAGCTTCAGTGGGGGAGAAAAAAGTGAAGTTTCTCTTAGTAGCAAACTCATTCTTAAACTGGCTCCGGCCTCCTGCTTGTCCTTTGTACCCACCGTTCCACCATCAGCCACGACACCCTGAAACTCAAGATGAAAGTAGATAAATATTTGTTAGGTCAGGGTATTAAGGGTTATGGGATGAGGGCAGTAAACTGGACTTGAGGTATAGATCAGCCATGATCTTATAAAAGCTCACTTTAATCCAAGACTATTGGTGGGACGCTGCTGCCGCGTTTCACCCACAAAATATAGTCAATTCGCTTTAGGGTACATTCTTTGAGACGTCTTAAAGACGCGATAAGGCGCTATATCAAATTCAAGGATTATTAGAATTATGATTATTATAAAATGGTGGAACAGGCTCGAGGGGCTGAATAGCCTACTCCTGTTTCTATGTCTATGGACCTCTGGCCCTCAATCCCTCTGCCTTGCCCCCTCCTTCAGGTCACTCCTGAAGACCTTCCTCTTCAACCGTGCTTACGGTCACCTCCCCTTGGTTCGGTGTCAGGCTCCGCCATAGGAGGGTTTATGAACACCCCCGGAGGTTTCTCCTGCCCCCCTCCCTGTGTCTTTATTACGCTTCTCAGAATTTGTGGTGAACTTCAGGAGACATCTGTTGCAGTTACAGTTGCTGGCGTTTGCGCACTGTTGCTATGGCAATGTGGGTGAAGTGCGCAATGCAGATCTTTCTCAACAATTGGACAGAATGGAAGAAGCACTGATTATAATATCTCCGTTCACCTGCTGGAGTTCTGATCGTATCTCTGCTTTGAGCGAGAAACCTGATCCCAAGTCCTGAGAGGGTCAGGGCAGTGACCACCAACAACAACTTGCATTTATATAGTGCCCCCTCACACAGGTTAGCGGCGCAGAGCGCTTGAGACAACATTGTTGATCGCTGCCGGGGCAGGGCTCAGTCACACTGGGAAAATGCCGCACTTTTGACCGGGTCACTTAAATAATCTGCCAAATCAAAAATTAATATCATATTCTCAATGGGGACGGGGAGGAGAACAGCTATTTGGTACCAGTTTTATCCAATCAGAGGCCAATATTTAACAAAGTGCATCGTGTAACCTTAAACATGCAGAAAAGTTAGAAAGAAAAATACTAGTTGGAGATAATGGGGTCCAGTTTGCCACATGGCATTATTAGCAAAGAGAAGGGAGTTCCTCCCAGTGGTCTGGTCAACAATGTCCCAGACAAGAATTTGATCACTCGCCCCACAGCTGCTTACGGACATTGCTGTGTACACATTTGGCTGCTACGTTCTCCATCAAATAGTCACTACACTTCACAGAAATCTCTATGAAGCACTTTGAGATGTCTTGACGTGATAAGGCGCTGCATCAAATATAAGGATTATTGTTACTGCTGAACTGTATTCCATATGAAATGGGAGTCATGCAAATGGAGTCCTCATTGTAACCTATTGGACATCACTGTGACATGCAGAAACTCTGTCCTGACGTTGCCCAAGTCTGGTTCAGAGCCCCGAAGGAAATAGGAATTCATAACATGAACACCACAAGCCTGTCACCAACGTTAAAACGAAAGAATAGAGAATTAGAAATTAGCAGAGAAATGGACGGTCAAGGAGAAGACAGGGAGAAAAGTAACGCTCGAAGAGCCTTCGTGTCTAGCATTGTAAAACAAATTAAAGAGCCTTTCTTTTAGTAAAATAATTGCAAAGGAACAAATCATAGGTTGGGTATCGAGGCCACTTTAGAGCAATCAGCTGTCTCGTGCTGTCCTCTGGTGGTGAAGACATTCTATGCAGCTTTCGTACAAATTAACGACGGAAGGAAATTAGACCTTTCCCCATCAGTGGATGTGGATAACTCGGAGCTTAAACAGCTTGACAGTTTGAGGTCCATGTTTCTTTCTTTGCCCTTTGCTGCGTGGACTGAGAGACGGAAGTAACAGCCGGCAGGTCTTAGACCAATCTTGCTTTCCTCAGTGATTACGGAGGTCAAATAACTAACAGTAGGTAGACTCTCATTCCGAGGATTTAAGTGCTGTAGCCAGACTCCTATTCCATTCCGAGAGGACCAACATTAACCTGTTTCTATAGCAATTGGGTGACATGGGAAATATAGATTCTTATTTTCACAACTGTCCAGAAACTCAGATCATAACATCTCTTTCATCTGCTTGTGTTCTGATAATGTCTCTGCACCTGCGCTGGCTCTGAAAGAGCTGCCTGTTTAGTCCCATGTTTCTGCCGCCCCACAAGTGGGAATTGGTACCTTACTTGGATCAATAGTGTTTTCGAGCACCATCCCATTAACCCCCATTTTAACAACTGGGAAATCTAATAAGAATTTGCTGGACGAAAGACCAAGGTCTATCTCGTTCGCCTTCCACCATCTGGCAGTCGCATGCACACGTCACTCCTCAAACAATATACTGTATTCTGAGATATTATTTCCTAAAAGAAATCTCTCTAATTTGCTTTTGAAAGAATCAATACTTTTTGCTTCCACCGTCCCGAGGAGTCTGTTCCATACGTTTACTGCTTGCTCACTGAAAGTGTTGTATTGAAATGCAATAAAGAAGGGAGTGCAAGAGGAGTGCAGAATGATACCATGCGATGAACCGAAGCTTTGAGGCAGAAGACAAGGGTTGGTATTGTGGAAGGAAAGGATGGGATCAAACCGGCTAAAGACCCCTTTTCATCGGAACCTGTCTGGCAATCGATCACCTGTGAATAATACGTTTGATAATTGAAACACGGCACGAGGAAGTTTGTAATTAAGAATGGTTTTCATGTTGGAATGCAATACAACGCTTTGGTAAACCTGAATATTACATACGTGCAGTGCAACTGCAATCGCACTTTCATAGCATGACATCTTTAAGAGTAGAAGGACCACACTGCTGACATGAAATGTCTAACAGTGAAAAAAACACATCAGTGAACACAGTCCAACAGAGAGACGCAAGTTGTACGGAAAGAGCACGTGTGTAGCACATGCATTCAACATGGGAAGCGACACATGTGAACAAAAGCACATGCAATCCTGATCTAGGTTGTCACTGTGAATTCCCAGCATGGTCACACAGGGTCAAGTGATCTGTTGACGGTGCGTCTGAAAGCCCCTGAACTGACATTTCCTTGGACCTGGAGCAGTCAGTCAATGAGAGAATGACACCTCAGGTGAGTAGGGTTGACATTGCCTTTTTATGTAATGCAGGTGAGATTCCTTGTAAATGGAACAACGCTACACTGCAGAATTGTGCAAGTCCAGCTCATCACTGTACAGTACAAAAAAAACAAGGAAAAAAAAATCAACTCCAGTTTTGATACAAGATTGGCAGCAGCAAGAGGAGTCAGTCTGATATGTACAGAAGTCACAAACATAATCCAGTATTTACACATAGTTACAAGAATGTTTCCTAGTCACATTTTACATCAAGACACAAAATAAAAGTCACAGGAAATAGGCAGATTGATTCTCATGGTGTGGCAGCACAGTACGTTATAACCTCCCAATCCGCAGGACTCAAGAGATGTCTCAGGAACCTAAGAATGTGCCAGATTTGGTCTCAAGTCTTTATTCTTTTGCTGCCAATGTTTTTTTCTCCAGTTCTGTCAGTAATTTGTACACAAGTTAGGCACAGTCTTATGATTCCCGGCATCTCCCTCTTGGCCACTGGGTGAGACACACAATGTGGCTCCCACAAGTTTACAGAATGTCAAATTAGCTCTATCCAGAGCTCCTGTGACATCGACCCCTTCAGTCAGACATTAAGACTAACGATGCACTTTAATCACAAGGAACAGGTCTCAGCCCATCTCAAACTCTGTCATGTGGAGCAATGTTTAGGGGGATTGAAACAAAGAACGTTAAAAGGAACGAAAAAGGATTTGCTGGGTGCAGGTGGTGTGTGCAGCTAGGAACATTAATTACTAATCAGCAAATCACAATTCCCAAAGTTTACTCCATCTGTAAGAGAATCCTCTTTCTACGTCTTCCTCGCAGCAGGAGGCCATTCCCAGCTTACCATCACAGGGGTCCACAACAGTTTAGTCAACTTAGACCTTCAGGCCTTCCTTGGTATTTTATGACATGTCCAGTTTACATCTAACAATGACCACTGTGGGCAAGTGGGCAAAACCTCACCATCTCTCCATTGAGGTACAAGTGTTGACAGGTAAGTCCCAATTCTACCAGAGCACCAGAATATGTCTGCCACTGAACCCTGACTGTACATCCTGCAGGAGACGCAGCCTCAATCATTAACTTAACCCTTAATAATCATCAATATTTAAGGATGTGGGAAAGAAGTGGGGTTTATAATAAGGGAGGGTTACACAGGGAGCTGTGGCACAGACACCCTAGGCTGAATGAACAGCCTCTTTCTGTACTGAAAATTTCTGTATCAACAAGACAAGGAATAGGAGTTTCATCATCGGGTTTCTTATTTTTTTTTAAAAAGCACTGTTTGTAAATTCATTCCCTTTTTTTCCTCATATCATCTGGATTTGCTGGTTATTTTAGGGAACTGGCATTACAGTGGAACTCACTTTAGTGTCTGTGTTATCCCAGGCCGTACTGGATCAGTGAGCCCCATACATGTGTGGATTCATCTCTCTGAGCTCAGCAACCACTCCAAGCGAGTCTCAGCAATCGCTGTGTTCAAATAAAAACAGCTACAAAAAAGGCAAATCTAAACACAGGAACATTTTCTGTGTTGAAGGCACACGTATAGAAAGTCCTTCGAGGCCCCTCTCCCAAAACACGGACACTAATCCACGTGCAAACCTCTATTGCCAAATCCTCGCCCAATGTGCCTTGTAACCTCTGTGTGGTAGTATTTGTCTACACGGGAGTAAAAGGCTAAGCTGCTTGACTGTGACCTCATGTCTTGTGCTGGTTGATGCAATGGTAATAACAGATGCTTAACAGTCACAGGGGATGCTTTAGTACGAGCTTATCATAAACCTGCTTTGCTTGTCATTGTGTCCAGGATAGGATAAATCAATGGTGGATCATTTAGTAATGTCAGCGCTAGCTTTCCGTGGGGAAGGACATATTTGCTGAGGGCCCCAGTCTCCATTACTCAGGAGATTTCACTCACACTCAGCACCTTTACTATTGATGTGGAAATCCCTGGGAAAGGTCACTGTTGTTGTATTCACTCAGTGTTTCATTTTGTAAATTATGAGACTAACATGAGATACAATATGGTATGTGATTCACAAATTACCCAAGACAAAGCAAAGCGTCACCAACAAAAAAAAACATCAGGAGAATTCAGAACCCTTTGAGATCTTTGCAATGTAAACCGAAATCTCCCAGCAAACTGCAGACAGACATTTTTGACCATTCGTTCTGACTCACTTTTAAGCAATGTTGCTCAGTAAAGGACAGTCCTTAAAATTGGACAAGAGAAGTGACAGTGGCTCAGTGTCAGGGAGTAAAGTCGCCAGAGACAGCTGGAAGTGTGAACACACTCCAGTGATCCAGCAGTTCCAGTACAAGGACAAAGCCTGAATGCCGAGTGCTCCTATACACTACTACTAACCTCCTAGCAACTGTGCTGTGAACATACCAGTGGGGCAAAGCTGTCGATCCCAGCAATTGAGGGTCATCTTCAGCCTGACTTCCCCCACACGCTGCTCCGGGAAGGATCCCAGTGGAGGGGAGGGTTTCCATGTGGCAGGTTGGAAGCGATTTATAAACGCCTGATTATGGATCGAAATCGTTTGTGACATTTTTGAAACGTGCAGTGCCCGACTCCCAGATCTGGTTAGCTTCAAGCCCAAATAGTAAGTTAGTTAAACACGTACAAGCGAGGTGGACAAATATATTTATGCAATAGTTAAAATCACCCCAAATTCACTGACTACCAATAATGCCTGGTAGAACGAATGGCATCAGGCAGGTAGGTTAGGTTAGGTTAACTGGCCCGCAGATGGAAACTAGATGTTGCTCGGTTAGGGTAGCCAAGGTGGCATTTCCTATTGCCATTGACCACCCAATGCGCTTTGCCTGCAATGGCTGACACCCGGTGTCTGAAGCCAGGAATGGGAGGATTGCTCGTGGATCCAACTTAACCTTTCAATCTGGTAGCAGGGCCCCCCACCCTCTCACCCCCCACTCCCCCAGAACTGAGTTTCTTTTTAACTGACAAACAGGAGGCCCCCCCCCATTTGTCAAAGCCACACAGCTACCTCTCCAGGACTGACAATGACAGATGGCGGAGCCAATGGCTCCACTAAAAGCCAAATGATTTTGCTGTTCGCTAGTTTAAAAAAAACACAGAACATAATTCTCTGTAGTGTTGAACCCGGGGGGGGGGGGCAGTCTTTCACACAAAACAGCGCCTCATGGAACATGTACTGATGTCCAAACAGATCCTTAAGTTACTGAGGCCCAAACACACGACGGAAAGGTCAGACATTCGGGATATTTAGGGTTTAAAAACAGCTTCCTGGGATGATTTTTTTTTCTCTCTTTTTTTAAAAAATAAAACAGTGCGCTGCCCAGCAGACACTGTAGGGACTAAAATCTCTGCTCATTCCACGTGCACCTCGGCCTCCGATCTCTGCAACGTCAGGTCTGTGGGCAGGTAGCTTCCCTGGCCTAGAGCGGTGCCGAATGTCCTGGCCGGGTGACCGGGGCCTGGGGCCGCAAACTGGATGCTCCCCCCCACCCCGGCCCTCTGCTGCTGCGACACCGCGTGATAGTCATCCAGGTTGTCGTACTGGGACGCAACGGTCAACGTGCTGTGCCGGGGTCCGCCCAGGTGGAGCGGGCAGGGGTACGAGACGGTCTGTTCCCTGGGCAGAGGGTCAGGGTGCTGCTGATATCTGGTGCTGGGGACCGAGATTCTGCTCAGCTCCTCTTCCTCGCTGTAACACGCTCGGGTGGGCTTGTCGGCTGGGCTCGGCCGTACTCTCGGCCGCTCCAGCTCCGGTCTCTCCTCCGGGGACCGGGTGGCCTGGTCGTCGTAATTCCCTCGCGGGGCCTCATGGGCCGAGGAGAGCAGGTATTTTCCAGTTGAAGACAGATATGCTTGGGAGTCCGGGTGCTCCTGCCTGTGTTTCGGGCCGTAGGCCGGGGGAAGCACGGGGTGCGCGCTGTACGTCTGCGAGTCCAGCAACTGCCTCTGGCTGGACTCCTGCTGCAGCCCAGCCGCGTAGTGCAACTGGTCGTAGGGCTGCTCGTGCCCCTTCCTGGCCCTACTGTTGCTCTGCTTCTGAGGAAGTGCCGGCTTTTCTAGCTGACCGTTGCCGAAAACCCCGTGATGCTGAAGATGATGGTGGTGGTGGTGAGCGCAGGAGCCAAGGTACGCAGGCGCCGGGCTGTCGGGCTCGCCCTCCTGGCGCTGGAAGGCATACAGCTGATCGGGATCCGGGGTTTTTCCAGGCCCTGGGTGCCATCTTTCCTGCCCCTCGCTCGACATCAGCAGGCCGCTCTTCCCGGGGTCGGACTTGCTTCGGAGGTGGACGACCTCTAGGCCGCCAAGCTCCTCCTGCAGGACTGGGGTCACGTTGTCGTACTGGGACATCACGGCGCCCTTGGATTTCTGCCGGGCTCGCGTTTCCCGCCGGATGGACTGGAAGCGGGACTTCTCCGAGTCCTCGGCGTCCCACATGATGTGGGCCAGCTTGACGTCCGGGGAAGGGGGTACGTCGCGGCTCACAAAGCTGTGCTCCCTGCTCACTGCGTTGGTGTGGTGGGCGCTGCCCCTGGGGTAGGGCGGGGGCACACTGGGGTAGGGTGCACTCTTTCCGTGAAACCTGCCGACGTACTGCGGGACATCCCGGCTGGTGAACGAGTGGAACGGCCTCAGCCTCGCGGAACCATAGGGATCGGCGAGGTCGTAAAAGGTGCCATCGGTGGCGTGGAGGCTGTACCCCGAGGACGAGGGGGAATACGGGCTGTACCTATACTGGACCCGGCCGTTCTCGAAGTAAGGCTGCAGCTGAGTGACGTGGTAATCCGACTGAGGGGGAGGCGGGGGCTGGTAGGCCTTGTACTGGTAGATGGGCCGCTGGTAATAGTAAATCTCATCCTCTGGAGGCACCTCTGTTCTCGAGATGGGAACCGACCGAATGGAAGATGGCGGGACGTGCAGGGAGTGGACCCGCCTCAATGTCGGGTAAGGTGCCTCCTCGAACTGGGCGTGTGGGTAGCCGTGTGCCCGCAGGCCTGTGGTCCCCGCCAGAGCGTAGTCCACCCTGGAGTGGGAGCGGGGCTTGGGCATGTGAAGGTTGATGGCTTTGAGCTGGCTGCTGTTGAACGTGTTGAATCTGGACGACGCGGAGGCCAGGTTCTCCGGGCGGGAGTTGTAGGCGGGATGTTGGGGAATGCTCTCGGCTCTGCATTGGTAAGACAGGTGCTGGGGAACGCTGTCAGCCCGACACTGATACACGAGAGGCTGGGAGAAATGAGGGTGCTTCTGCTGGTAGTAGGTGTCGGGATCTGGCAAGCTCTCCCCCTTGGAATGATAGGGATGTGACTGGTAAAGGAAAGGTGGCTTGGCAGGTGGCGCTGGAGGTAAAGCATCCTCAATAGAAGATGGTATCGTTGTTGAAGCTAGGAAGGAATGGAAGTTGGAGGCTGTGATGGTATCCACCAAGGAATGACTGGCGGCTATCTTGCTTTCCATCGATCTCAGGGGTGGGGTGGGTGGAGTTTTGCTGTAAGAGCTGTGATCAGGAGGAACAGATTCAGCTCTCGGGTGCGTGACTGGCCCCTTTGCGCTGTCTCTGGCTTTCTCCTGGTACCCACTGTGCACAGCCATGGCGGTGGCCGGACGGCTCGTGTAGGTGATATCACTGGTGAACGCAGGAGCCAACGGCTCAGACACGCGAGTCTCCGGCTGCTTCACAGGGGATGTGCAACCTCGAACCTGAAACAGAAATCAGACAGGTATACTGTTATATATAAAATATAGTAATAATAATCATTGTATTGGATACAGCGCCTTATCAGGTCATTGAGACATTTCACAGCGCTTCACAGAATCCACCGGAAAGTGTATTTTGCGGGCGAAACGCGGCAGCCAAATGCGCACAGCAGCGTCCCACCAACATCGTGGATTTAGTGACTACGTTATTATTATTATTTATTTAATTCAAGGGATTATTACCCAACCCCCCCTCCTCCATAAAAGCGATCCACCAATCAACTAACAACCAGGCTTCTATTACTGCTGGGTAAAAGAGTTGGTTCGTGTGGAGATACATTCAGGTGCAGAATGACCGAGGGCCTGTGCTCTAACAGTCTATGATTCCACAAGCACTTGGTGATGATCTCATTTCCTCTTACCTGGCCAGAAGGTGTAGGGCCCACTTTGGTGCTGGGAGGGGCTTGTCCGGTGGCGGGCTGGGGGTCGACAGTTGGTGGTGCTGAGGTGTGGTGGCTGCTTACTGCAGGGAGATGAGGGGGTGGTGCGGACTTGTGGTGGTTGGTGACTGCAGGGGGAGGAGGAGGAAGTACAGGCTTGTGGTGGCTGCTTACTACGGGGGGAGTAGGGGGAGGAGCAGACTTGTGGTGGGAGGTGACAGGGGGGGGAGGAGGGAGAGCCTCAGACTGGGGTTCCGGGCTCTCATCCATGGGGGTAGGTGGAGGGTGGGAGCGGTCCATGGGGGTAGGTGGAGGGTGGGAGCGGTCCATGGGGGTAGGTGGAGGGTGGGAGCGGTCCATGGGGGTAGGTGGAGGGTGGGAGCGGTCCATGGGGGTAGGTGGAGGGTGGGAGCGGTCCATGGGGGTAGGTGGAGGGTGGGAGCGGTCCATGGGGGTAGGTGGAGGGTGGGAGCGGTCCATGGGGTAGGTGGAGGGTGGGAGCGGTCCATGGGGTAGGTGGAGGGTGGGAGCGGTCCATGGGGCTAGGTGGAGGGTGGGAGCGGTCCATGGGGGTAGGTGGAGGGTGGGAGCGGTCCATGGGGGTAGGTGGAGGGTGGGAGCGCTCCATGAAGGTAGGTGGAGGGTGGGAGCGGTCCATTGGAGTAGGTGGAGGGTGGGAGCGGTCCACAGATATCTGCGGCCCAGGCGGGGGGACGGGGGGCTGGTTCCCCTTCTTCCTGTGAGGCTGTGCGCTGGTCTGCTGCTGCTGGGCGCTCTCGGCCAGAGCCAAGGCCAGCAGGCGGGCAGCGCTCTTGGGAGGCGGAGGTGGTGGGAGGAGAGGGACAGCGCTGACCGCAGGAGCCTCCTGAGGGGACTCGGCCACCGTGCCTGCAAATCAGAGAGAAAAATAAACTTGATTTTTAGTGAATCGGTGCGAGGATCAAGCCCTTATTGTCCCCGACGACTTTACAAACTCCACAATAGAAGCAACGCACGAACAACTTTGCATTTACTGAAACATCTTTGACTCTCTGTCTCTCTCTCTCATCGGAACCTCAAAAGTGAACTCGCACTCAATTCAGGTCTCACCTGTCTGTGACTGTGTGGACGAAACAGCCTTATTTTGATTGGTTGGTTCACGCCACTCTGGTCGTAGATTTTTAACCATCTGTGATTGAGCGGGTGGAGAAGCCTTATTCTGATTGGTTGGTTCATGCCCCTCCGGACTTTGACCTTTACCCCCCGACTGCGATGGAGTGGATGAAACAGTCTTATTCTGATTAGTCAGTTCGTACCACTCTGGGTGTTGACCTCTGGCGTCTGATGATGACCCAACGGCTGCAGAAGACAACTTCCTGTGGATCTCCTGTTGGCAGCTCTCTGGGATCTGCCCCTCGCTGGTCTTCAGCAGCATCGAGATCATGTGCGGAGGGGACTTGCTCACATTGCTGCTCACAGCAGGCTTGGGGGAAGACGGAGAGGTACCCAGTGAAACTGTCGCCATGCTGCCAATCATCTCAGACACTCGCATTGGCACAGATATAGTGATGGGCTCAGAAATAGTCAATGGTGGAGACTTGGGTGACTTGCGTCCGACCTTGGGGGAGAAGGCATGGACCATCTTTTCTGCAAACGAGGTTGGCTTGGCGAGTTTATCCTCAGTGGGGCTCAGATCAGGAGAGAAGAAAGGGCTCATGAGCTTGTCTGGCGAAGGAGAAACTGGCTCTGAACTGCTTCCGCTTCCTGGGGTTTGATGCTCACTCCCCAGTTCCATCTCCCTTTTGCTACCGATTGCTCTGTCCTTGCTGATGAAGGGAAAAAAATCCACATGAGGTGTGCTGAAGTCAGGCCCTTCGGGATCTGCCCGAGGTGGACTACACTGGAAGGACATTGGGTCAAAGTCCAACCCAGCTGCTCCCATGTCTGGTGGGCTCAGCTCCACTTCCTCCATCCTGGGGGACACCAGGGCAGGCACTTGCAGTATAGTGTCCTCTCCTTCGCTCTCGTCGTTGGGCAGGTTGTCATACGAGTTGCAATGATTGAGGCTGGGAAGGATGCCAACATTGAAGGAAACGGACAGAGCATCGCTGCTGGAGCGAGGTCGACGAGGTCTGTAGAGCTTCGATTCTCCTGTAAGACAACATCATACATCATTACTGAGCGCTCGCATACCATTGCCTCCAGTCGGCAAGTGACGTGACAGAAACCCATCAGAGCTTCCACACCGGAGCTTTGCTTGTTTTACTGCAATAAGCACATCGAAGTCCAGATTATAAAGTGTCAATATCACGTGTCGTGTTTGCAAGAGGTTTTGGTTCAAGGTGGCCCTTCGGCTCATTTGATCTCATCCTTCCCGACCACAAGTGTTTACATTACAGCAACAAGAGGTTTCTTAAATCAGTTCACCGACATCCCCTCTGATAACCCTCTTCACATCTTGACCAACAACAACAACAACCACAACGCGGATTTATATAGCGCCCTCCACGCCGGACGGCGTCTCAGAGCGCTTCACAGTAACAAATCCCGGGACCGAGGGGGGGAAGGTGACCAAAGGCACGGTCGAAAAGAAAGGTCTTCAGAAGGGACCTGAAAGTAGGAAGAGCACGGGACGAGGGGGAGGGAGTGAGGACTTGCGTAAAGACCAGAATATGTGGCAGTGCCACAAAGCAGCAGCAGGGGGCGCACTACTCTAAGGGGCAGAATATTTAGCAGCTTAAACCGGAGAGAATCTCCAGCTGTGAGACCATCGTGTCAAAGTGAGATCATCGAAGAGATAGACTGGAATGCGCTCTCTCTCTTTCCTTCTCTCTCTCTCCCCCTCCCTCTCCCCCTCCCTGGAGGGACACATCCTGCTTATCTAATTCCGGAGAGTATGAGGCGTAGATATCTGACATTAAGCAGTCGGGACTGAACAGATGTTTTGCTATGAGTTCAAATAAACATGAGTGTTGTCAAGGCGTTGCTGTAGGTACCTGCACCCACTGTTACCCACCACCCACCCACCGCCCCCAGCCCATCCCCATGACTCACCTTCTACATTGTGCAGTGAGGAAAGGGACTCCTCACTTTTAGCAGAGCGGAGGGTTCCCGAATCCCCCCTCCCTGGTGGTGAGGAAACAAACACGCAATTAGCACAGGAAAGAAAAGCATCATTACATCAAAAGTCTCAAACCGCTTGATGGTATTTAATTATTGTGTATTTGTAGGCAGACCAGCAGCCACTTTTACACAGAGCAAGGCTTCCCTCCTCCCTCAAAAAAGACTGAGGTGAATGACTGATTAATCAGACGCTTGCTTCGCCCACAAAATATACGGTCAATTCACTTTACAGTATATCCTGTGAAGCGCTTTGGGACGTCTTGAAGACGTGATAAGGCGCTGTATAATCAATGTAAATTGTGGTCAATCTCCAGGATTCTTGGTCAGGAGACAGAGATACTCTCCACTTTTCACGTAGCAACACAGCTTCTTTAATATCCTGGTGGACGGAATTGGTTCGTTCAACATCTCATCCGAAGCGCGGAACCCCTGACATTGCAGTGTTCGATTGGTGCTATTAGTGGATAGATGTGTGTTAGGTCAGGGTGTTAAGGGATATGGGGCAGGGGCCGGTAACTGGACTTGAGGTACAGATCAGCCATGATTTTGTAGAATAGCAGAACAGGCTCGAGGAGCTGAATGGCCTCCTCCTGTTTCTATTCTAGACTTAGGTATCAGCCTAAACCGTGAGCTCAAGTCAAACCAAGCCTCTGCGCGCTGAGCCAGTGTCGAATAAATCCAGCCCAGCGCTGTGTATGGGGGTTACTCACCTCCCAGCGCCATGGCTTTCATCTCACTGGGCTCACTGGGGTTCCGCTGTAGTTTGCGCTTGGCTACGGATGAGGATTTGCCCAGGTTGAAGAAGGAACGCCAGGTCCCAACTGGAGATTTCTTTGCTTTGATCATGGTCCTTTTCCTGGGGAATGGAGATACAGAGACTGTGTTAATGTCAGCGTGCTGATAAACACTGCAGAGAAACTCACAGTTTACCAGCTCTCCCCCGAGGTCAGGCTCTCACCAGACATGCTTCCTTCTCGTCTCTTTATAGCAAGTTATTTAATCGACTGACACTCAGTGGGTCTCAAAAAGAACACGCCAACTGCACACACACACACAGTGTGAGTGCAGTATACAACAGAGTTGCCCAGAAGGCGAGGTTGGGTTATACCTGTCGATGGGGAAGTCGATGATGGTGTGGAATCGACCCTGCAGCGCTGCAGGTCCATCGCCCACCTCGATGTACTTGCTGTCTACGGTGACTGGGGAGTTGATCTGGGCCTGGGTTCGTGCCTGAGCCTCCTCCAGGGTCAGCAGCTTGGTGGAGGGTGACGACACGAGCAACGACTTGGGTCTCGACAGAGAACTGTGACCTGGGCCGAAAAGCAGTAAAAAAAGAGAGGCTATAGAAGAGAAAATCTGACGGTTAAAACAACTGAGGTCCCCAAATCCCACTTTAGTCTTGGCCAGCAACACCAATCTGATCTCAGAGAGCGGAAACGCACAAAATACTTAAATTCAGTTGTAATTTGGACGCTGCTTTTCTGCAGTCGCCAAAAATGAAAACACAGGATTCTCCATGTCACATACAGCTCCACCCTCTCACACATCAAACCTGCTTGAAATTGCCCCCACTCTCCCTCTCCGGCCCCTCCACACATTAATTACCCTCTGTGTTAAAAGTAGTCATATCCAAACACGTATCCTCCTTCCAAGTTTGAGACTAAGACCCCTCAATGTGCAACCCTGCACCATTCTGAACAAGGTATTGGAGGGTCTCTCTACAAGCCCTGAGGGTCTGGACTAGTTCGGTGACGTACCTGCTCCTTCCCTGATGACGGAGCTGAGTTTCGAGCTGAACAGCACGTCCACATGGTTCAGAATGAACTCCACCACCACGGACTGAATCCGCACCTCCATGAAAGCCGCAGTGCCGCTGAAGCAGGCCGACTCGATCTGCCTGGACCTGAGAGGACAAGAAAAGCAATTGCGTCGAATCAGACCACGATTAGCCACTGAGATTTCCCCCATCGCTAACGACCACTGAATCATTTCGCTTTCAAAGCTACGTTCATACCGGGATGTACACTGAAAGCCAACAATCACATAACTAACCTGTCCTTTACCTGTTTATGGTGAGAGGTTAGACATTGGCGAAGGATTCAGAACGAGTCTAGTACAAGCAGCTCTACTGAGCAGTGAAATCTACAACAGTGGCAGTAATGACAACACAGAAAGAGCGACCACTCCAACCTCACCTCAGGAGGTTTGGAGCCCAGACAATGGCGAGGTTCTTGGTGTGCATGTTGGTGATGTAGCTGAAGGTCGCCAGCCGCGCCAAATGTCTCATCAGGAACTCCAGGGTCCTGGGCGGAGAATTAGACAATGTTACACACACTGACCAGTGGTACAGCAAGTACAGGCACAGACGGGGCTTAAACAAGGTCAAACAGGCCGCAACGACAAAATTCAAGATGGGCTGAACATTAAGGTTACCAAACTTCACCGGTCCTAAATATGAAGAAATGTACCAAAGGAGAGCATTATCTTGATACTGCAATCTGATTTTAATAATTATAATAATTCTTGCATTTGCATTCTTTTCCCTTATCGTATTGTTCAGACGTCTCAAAGTGCTTCACAGGATATACTTTACGTTGAATTGACTGTATAGTTTGTGGGCAAAATGGAAAGGACAGTGAACGGTCAGTGTGCGCTGGCGTGACTGTCTGTTCAGGAGAGGGGAGCAGGCAGTCAGTGTGTGTTGGGGTGAGTGTACAGGAGAGGAGAGGGCTGTGTGTGTTGGTGTGAGTGTCTGTACAGGAGAGGACAGTGAGCTGCTGATATACCTGTAGTGAGGAGGCGGCAGCTGCTGGATGACATCGTGGATTTTAATCAAGCGGTCCTCATCTGAAGCCACAGACACAGCATCCTGTGAAAGACAAACATTTGGCATCAGGCATTGTGTATTTAAAGACTGCAGTCACTAACACGGGATTCCACATGATGAAGTTCAGTTCAGAAATACGACAAACATAAGAGCGTAAGAATTTGCCGGCGAAAGAAGACCAAGGTCCATTTAGTTCGCTTTCCACCATCCGGGCCGTCGCTTGACATGTCACGTCCCAAACATACCCCAATACTAACAGCTCTGCCAGGATTTTAGTCCAAGTCACACGAGATACAGCACTTGTGTCTAAACCAGCTTTCCTACAGAGCTACAGCAATGAGAACAAATCAGAGAGCAGAGTAGAGGAAGCCAGACAGTTTAATCCATAAAATCTGATAATCCCGTTGATTCGGGGAATAAACTCAGGCACACACTGGCAGCAGAGAAACACAGGAGGCTGCTGTTTTACTATCTGCACTGGCACTCTTACAAACACAACACGATATAAAAGATTTTTTATATATAATAATAATTTCCAGAAATTATCAAGGGAAGGAACCTTGGCTGAGTTTTTCCCTTTCCTTAGCACTGGGGACATTGAGATGATTTCTATTCACCCAAGCGCTTCTCTGACAAACTCACAGCTCCAGCCTTGTGATCTGTATATGGTAACAACAACTTGCAGTTATACAGCGCCTCTCACGAAGGGTTGTGTTTCAGAGACTCTTACAGTTGCATATGGTATGTCTACACACTGGGCCATTAAGGCTCGTCTATGTGCCAGGATAATGGGAAATGCTGTGGTGGCCGTTGCTGGTCGCGCCTGAGAAGCTGCCTGTCTGTGTGACTCGCGGATGGACGTGACTTACTGAGAACTTCTCGTACAGCTGGTAGGTGAGCAGCGGATTGGGCAGCTCTCTGAAGTAGAGCTTGCACAGGGAGCCCACACAGTGGATGTCCTGCAGGTACAGATCCTTCGTCAGGTCAGGAATCTGCTCCGAGTCAAACTCATGCCTACAAGTAAAAACAAAACAAGTTTTTAGTAACAAGAGGAGAAAAACACTTATGGCCACAGCATACGTTATACACAATCTTTTACCTCAATGCCCTTTAGATCCCTTCCTAGTTGCCAGAGATTGTCTTGTATGTGGGCATTGAGTGAGGATGTCATAATAATAATAATCCTTGCGCTTGATATAGCGCTTTTCACATCTCTCACGTCTCTCAAAGACATCATAATGCTTGACGTTGCCGTCCCACCCACAAACTCCGCCCCGAGCCCCACACCTTCCACAACAACAATCTGCCAACGTGCTCTGTCAAAGCTCACATACGAATGGCTAACAGGCAACATAGCCTGCAGCTCTCTCTCTCTCTCTCTCAACGCCCAGGGAATCACTCCCTTAGCACTTATAAAAGAGTCAGTCAAGAGAGGGAATAACATTGACAAGAGAGAGAAAAAAGAATGTTTCAGTCATATGGCAATCACTGTTTACACCCAAATACCACAAAAAGCACTGCTACCCAATTGCATTAAAAATCATTTGGCTGGGATAACTAGCACAAAGGCAGCTTATAAATTACATGTTGTCGAGAAGGCAGCCCAACAGAAAACACCACTGCAATAAAAAGATAGCAACTGCACTACAACAATGGACTTTGCTGCGATAAATAGCTCTAACAACAGTTCTTTTGAGTTTAATTGAAGCTTTCCCCCAGCTTTACCGACAGATGGAGATGGTGGAATGTTCTCAGGTTGGGCTGTGTGTCGCCTTGGCTCAACCCAGCCCTGTGCTTAATAATTCCCAGAAATAGGTAAGCTCCAGAGAGAGCGCATTCCATTCCAACAATCTATATCTGGGATTTCCATGTGGGGGTGGGATGTGTGGAAATCACAGCTTGCTTTGGAGGTGCTTAAGCAACGGTGATGGGTTTCCGCATGTGTCAAGACACTCGGCTGACCAAAGAAAAAACGTTTTACCAGGGATTTACAGCTGGACAATACACAACAGAATCCAATCACAGCCTGTTCTTTCATATTCCTCAGTGAATAGCACTAGATCCAAACAGCTTTGGCATAGGCATAAGATCATCGACTAACAAAAGAGTCCAGTCATACTCTGGGTCAAAATCATTTGCGGCTTTTCTATGTTCTAATAAATTGTACAAAAATACTTCTGCAAACCTCCTTCATATCTCCCGCTGACGAAGCACAGTTTATGGCTCCTCACTGATTCAGCAACCAGTGGAGTATTTTTCACTACTGACCAGTTTGAGAGGAAGGTTTTATGTGAGTCTGGTTTTCAGGCGCTGTTACAGCAAACCCGTTTCTGATCGGCTTACCGTAGCTTCTGAATATTGGACGCAATCCCTGAAAGTCTGTAGATCCCGTCCACCACTCCGTGTCTCTCAATAAACTCCGTGCAGCTTTTGAGTACCTGGGGGACTGAAAGAGAAAAATAATTAGAATTACCAGAGTAATTTTCTGCAGAGTTGCTAGGCACAGACAGCAGTTTAGTTTGGATACCCTTAAGCATGGGGAAGCAAACACCCACCTGGACAAAGCAAAATGGACATCAGCCTCACCAGAGGCCCAAAATTCTTCACAGCCATAGTTTTAATATCTAAGATTACACGGGGCGCAAGGGGGGGGGAAATAGAGATGTTTCTGTTCTGTAAATCAAAACATTCATGGCTGATCCTTTCTCTCACAAAAGCCAGAAGCAGTCACACTACACTGCCAACTGTCACAAAGCAAGATCAAAAGTGAGATGCTCACAAAACAGCACCTCATCGCAATAACAGAGGTGTTAACAGGTCCTTGACAATGCTGATAAGACGTGTCTAGCTCCAGTGAGTGAGTGTCTGTCTGCTCTGCAGGTGCCTCAACATAAACAGGGCAGGTTATGACAGACAGAAACCACAGGAATGTTCACGCACGTTAGCAGAGGAGTATGAACCAGCGTGCTGAATCAAGTCACAAACAAAACAAGCCCAGTAGTGACCAGTGAAAGACTGCACTGGTAACTCAGCAACGGCAGAATATTGCTGAGAACTGTTCAGCCGTTACAAACAGTAGTTTTCATCCAATTCTCTTCTTGTGGGGTTAAAGTACTGTACAGCTCAGTTTATAATTTATAATAATCCGTGCATGTGATATAGCACCTTATCACGTCTTCAAGACATTTCAAAGCGTTTCACAGAATGTCCTTGAAAGTGAATTGACTGAACATTTTGTGGGCGAAATGCGATAGCCAATTGCGTACAGCAGTGTCCCACAAACAGTTGTGGATTGAGTGACCAGATTATTTTTTTTTAAAAAGGATTATTATCACAGAAAAGTGATCCGCCAATCGACTAACGACCAGGTTCCTATTTACTATTACTGTTACAATGTGGAATGCTTTACAGCCAATGTCTATGAAAACTGCATCCAAAAAAGCTGAAAGATTTAAAAGGGAATTGGAAAATGGTTTCAACAAAATAATATGAAATGGTTCTGGGAAGAGCAGGTGATGGGATTAGAGCTGACAGCTCCAGTGGTTGGAGTGAACACCAGCAGAGATTTAATAGCATCCGTCTGTGCCTTACACGCACGCTGACAGTCTGTGCCCAGGATGGGTTTCAAGCTTCTCTGCCTCCTCCACCACTTCCTCAATGGAACAGGGACTTTTCAGTCATCACCGTTGTCACCAGAAAAGTCCCGTCAATGGACACAATGGACAATGCATTACAAAATTACATTTACACCTTACGCCTTTCATGTCGGGAGGACGTCCCAAGGCGATGGACAGTCAGGGATTTGGATCCGAGCTGGGAGATTGGGATCAGGGAAGGTAGGAAGGTGGATGAAGGTGCTGTCAAAGAGGAGGGTATTGAGATTGCCTTGAAGAATGCGAAGGAGGGAGCGAGGCAGTTGTAAAGGCGCTTTACAAATGTAACTTTGTTGTTGTTAATGCAGAAGACCTTGGTGCCCATGTTTGGTGAATGCAACAGGTCGTGGGGGAAGCTGGAGTTCAATCATTTCCCTACTCCAGAGAAATCGTTGACCTAATGGTTACAGTCATCCTGTCAAACCATTCTGTCTTCAAATGCAAGATTGGGCCATTTTAACTTCAGTCTTAATTAAGAAGACATTTCAGAATTTTCTGGAATTTTGTCTGATCTTAAATTTGAAGACAAAATGGGCTTGCGGGCTAAGGTTAAGTGGAATTTGGTACCAGTGTGTCTGCAGGCGATGGAGCATATATGGCCTTAGCAGAGTCCTTGTACCTGGAGCCCTGCAGCCATCAAAAAGAACTGCAAAAGGCAAAATACTGCAGATGCTGGAAACCTGAAATAAAAACAGAAGTGGCCGGGATCACTCAGCAGGTCAGGCGGCATCTATGGAGAGAGGGGGGTGGATTAACATTTCAGGTTGATGACGAAAGGTTAACTCACTTTCCTTTCTCCATAGAGGCTGCCTGACCTGCTGAGTGTTCCCTAACTCACTTTCCACTCTCCATAGAGGCTGCCTGACCTGCTGAGTGTTCCCTAACTTACTTTCCACTCTCCATAGATGCTGCCTGACCTGCTGAGTGTTCCCAGCCACTTCTGTTTTCATTTTTAAAAAAACAGCAAGCTTCAGTATTGCACATTCAGTGCACCTGGCAGAACATCAACTTAAACAAGGCAAGAGACAGCCAGTCACAATCACTTCAAATAATGCCTGTGAATTTGGAGGTCACTTTAACTTCCCTACCAGGGAAGACATTCCAAGGATTCAGCAAATGCAACCATTTGAAACCCTTTTTGCCATTTGCCTTTCTAATCAGTCAGTGGAATTTGCCAAAGGGTCTGTGAGGTATCTTTCCACTCACTGCACTCCTTTTGTAACTACTCTGCCTTACCTCCCCCTGAGAGTGGGACCCCCTCTAAGGACAGAAGACAATGACTGTGTATCTCCACCGATATCCAACTTAATCAATGACTCCAATGCCATGAGTGCTAATCAGCCCATTAGTTCGTGCTTGGCTGTTTCTTTGAGTTCTGCACATTCAAGCCTGAGGCATTAGCTCCCACTATAGCTGCTGTTCATTTCTGTTTTACATGTTTCCATGAAAAAAGGAACCTGCTCAACGGCCCGTGCCTCAGAACAGAACCTTTCCCTTTCAAATTAGCTCTACAGAAAAATGCCATTTAGCCCATTTACAACAAGGCTATCGGAAAACAAATCCTATTAAGTCGTGGATGAGCTTAGTTAGTTTACAATGAAACTAAATCTGAATTAAATGTACCCCTGATCACTAGGACCATTTCAATTCACTTGAACAAGCTGGAGAAAGCTAAGATCAATGCATTTATTCAGTTTAATTCAGAAGGGGATACACCTAAATACCCCACATGTTCCTATCACGATGAATAGATTCTAACATGAAGCACAGCACATTGGTTCTTTATTTCCACATCCCCTTGCTTTTTCAAATGAGCATTTATGTCCCTGAAATTTAGGTGAACATCAACATCCCCACACACTATTTTTAAAAAAACATAGTTTTCCCCCCAATTCACCCCAATTCTCCTGGATTATATGCCCCCTCCCTACCCAAATTTAAATTAATTGCCTATGATTCATCTCATTATTTATAGAATGTTCCTGGTGCACATAAACTGCTGTATTTGTCTCGATAACAGCGTTCATCTCCTTGCTAATTAATTTAACATGTAAAGAGCTCTGAGAAGTCCTTGTCTCACTACAGAGACAGACACAGCGCAGCTCTGGTTGAGAGTGGATCAAACTTGCTCTACAGATTCGCAATCAAACAAACGAAAGCCTCTTTATTCTCTAATAAGAAAAATGAAATGTGATCAGTCATTTCTTGCTCAGTACAGTGAAACTCAGCGTGAATATAATAATAAGAATAAATTTGATATAGTGCCTTATCACATCTTCAAGACATCTCAAAGCACTTTGAGGCTCAATAAGTGTAGCAGTAAGAAATAGGAATGGTCATTAAGTGAGACACAGAGAGACGTTTAAATTTCCCACAGATTTCCCTGGCATCATAACTCAGGGATATACAGGACAAGTCACAATTCTCACAAAATAAGCTAAATGAAAACATAGTAAATAATCCTACACGTCTCGCCTTCTCATACCCCTCAATCCACTACCTCACCCAGAAGCTATCTAACCTCCTCTTTGAAATTACAGACATAATTCCAAGAAAAAAAGATTTCAAAAACAACTTCCTGAAAATTAAAAGGGAGTCAGTGTTAATATTTAATGAACTTTTGCATCTAAGTGATCTATTAGGCCATTGGATGGGTTCCTGGACACTGCTGCCAGTAACTGTTGTGACGTTACTGTGCAACTGCGGCGACAAATCAGTGCAGACAAGGAACCCACTGCTCTATATGACTCAGTATCACGCCAGGCGGTGCACTTACCCACTGAACCATTGTGGCAGCTTAAATAAGTCATTTAACCCGAGACAGGAGATAATAAAATACTTGCATTTGATATAATGCCTTATCCCGTCTTCGAGGCGCCTCCAAGTGCTTCACAGAATATATTGTAAAGTATAGTGACTGTACATTTTGTGGGCAAAACTCGGCAGCCTATTGCGTACAAGAGTGTCCCACAAACAGTCGTGGACTGAGTGACCAAATTATTATGTATAATTGTTTTTTAAAAAAATGGATTATTACCTGCCGGAAAATGATCCACCAATTGACTAACAACTGGTTTCCTGCTTACTGTTAGGTAAACAGAGGCTTGTGTGCGGAGTGAGAAAACTTGCCCAACATTTTTCCCTGCCGGGAATCAAACCCAGGTCCTCTCGCTTGCGAGGTGAGTGCTCTAACCACTAAACTACAGGACTCTATAAAAATAGTTTCTACACTTATCAGTAATTACTGTAAAAATGCCTCTAAGCACAGACCGGTTTGCTGTTCCTAGGGGAGGGGGAAACTCACTCACCATCGTGGCCGGAGTTGAGCAGGTGTTCGCCCAGGTCACAGCCGAACACCCGCTCCTTCAGGATCCCTCGCTGCTTCAGCTTCTGTTTGGTCGGCCGAGACTTCATGAAGGTGCGGAGGAAAGTGATCAGCTTCCCGTGCTTCTTGGAAACTGTGGAACGAAAACCAGAGAAGATAAATAACGCTAAGTCATGCTGTCAGGCCGCTTGCTTTCACACTGATGTCATTTTGTAGTTTTAATGAAAGCAACAGCTGTCACTGTGTGCGGGCACATCGCAATGCTCTGATACCAGGGCTGTGCCCTCGAGACCACACATTTTACTGGCATCTGTAGGATAGTTATATAATAACAACAACAACAAAGTGCTTAGCCTCAGACCAACCTTGCTGCGAGTGGAGAAAACCAGAAATACAGATTCTCACTCCCCACCCACTATTGACCCCAAGTTTGTGTTGAGTTCTCTGATCTTAGCACTGTGTGAACGGGACATCATTAGGGTCGGAGCAGTCTGAAACTTGGGAATCTGAGCATGGATTCCTGTAGCTCAGTGGTTAGAGCGCTCACCTCGCAAGAGGGAGAACTGGATTCGATTCCCGGCAGAGCGAAACCCTATGCCAAGTTTCCTTACTCCCCACGCCTGACAATAATTCCTCAGGAAAAAACAAACAATAAGAATTTGGTCACTTCAATCCACGACTGTTTGTGGGACGCTGCTCTGTGCAATTGGCTAGAGAGTTTCACCCACAAATATACACTTTACAGTCTATTCTGTGAAGCGCTTTCAGGCGTCTAGAAGACGTGAAAAGCGCGATATCAAATGCAAGGAATATTTATTATTTGTTATTATGACATTAAACACAGGGGTGAAGCAGACACATATGATGAGTCTGCAAGTCACATGCAGACCCCCAAACCCCCCTCCCCCAACAACCACAACAATTAGCATTTATATAGCACCTCACAGCACTGCATAGATTGACACACCGACCCCTCCTCAATACAGCTCAGAACATTGATCGCAACATCAATTGCACATAGAGTAGATTTTTTAAAAAAATCCAGTTTAGGAACTTCCTGGTAGTCGCAGGCTACAGTAACGAAGCTGTCGATAGCAATTCTCGTTTGCTTCTCATTCGTGTAACTCAAATATTGACCCTGACCCAAAACTCCTGAAATCTTTTAAAAGTAATTATCTACAGTAAACCCCACATAAGTCGCATCAGTTAGGACCGTACATTTAATATGACTAATGCAAAGAATATGATCTCTTGAATGGGCCTTGAACAGTCAGATGTACGACTTAGGCAATTATACGATTTATACAGATGATAATAGTAATAAAAATAATCCTTGCATTTGATATAGATCAGACTTACGTGAGAGTTTCTGTACAACCAAACGTGTGAATCAGAGAGTAAATAGAGCTCGAATGAGCTGGAGACACTGTGACTCGGTCCCAAACTGACTTTTCAGTCAAATTTCTGAACATTGACCTTGGCCAAGTCTGCGATTATGCACACGCTTTCAGTTGTATCCTATCAATAAAAGCGCTAGAGATGTACAATATCGGTGCACTGACTCAGCCTAGGCTTCCAGTATGTTTCCTCCTCCCCTTCCCCAGACAGACAGTCAACACATCAGCACACACTCCCTCACTTCTCCCCCATGCAATAAAATAGTAAAATTAAATCGTATCAGGGTGCTGAGTCAATACTCAACCCGTGATTACAAGAAGGAGCTAAGCAAGGCTGCATTACTAATCAGCGTTCTTCCAGATCCTGGCCATTAGGAAACTATGCTAGCGAGTAATTTCAGGAACGTCAGGCTTGTGTGGTCACATTGCTGCCTCTCATCTTCACCCTGAATTCCTCCAAGTCACAGAGCCAGAATTTGGGTGCAAACAGCAGGGGCTGAGTGGTGTGAGCACAGAACAACTACATTCCTAAACAGGACCTACTTCCCTCCCACCCCCCACTGCACAGCGATGAGCTGCGTTCATTAACAGTGGAAAGGGAAGGGCAGATCAAACAGCCTTGGCCATATGAAACTCAGTAACAATTACAGCTCCAACTTAAAGCTCCACCACCACTGGAGCACAAACAAAAACCATATTAACAGTGAAATTCTTCAGTACTGAATTGCCATGAGTTCTGCCTGTCCGTTTACTATCACTGAGAGCAGTAACGTACACCAGATCAGTGTATGGTACTACAGCATATCGGATGTACCTTTACGCTGTGAATTTTTCAGCTTACTGATAACATCAGCCGTGCTATCATTAATCACAGAAACCCTCAGCTCAGCACGTGAACCACAGTTCAGCCCTACCTTGGTTTTGATGAATTAAATTATGTAACTCGTTCTCTGTTTCGTTGCAGCTCAGAACGCACAGGCAGGCAAGTAGGCAGGCAGGCGTTCCTATAAACGGGAAACTAACCCAAAGGGTCGGAAATGCACCCTGTTAGCACAAGCGTCGGCCTTCACTCTGCACCTACAGCTTGTTCCCTTGCTCCCGGGTCTCACTTCAGCTCTGAAGCCAGCGGAGTCAAGCGAACGTTTCAGACAAAGCTACACACGCTCCTTCGCCGCACGCCAGCCGAGCTCTTCCACCAAACACTAACCAGAGGGCAGATTATTGGGTGAATAAGCCCTGTAAACGCAGCTCTCACCTTGTTTTCACAGCCCGGTTTGCCTGAGTCTTTGTGGCAGGAGCTAAGAACATACCTTTGTCCTTCTGCACATGGCCCCGAGCTGACCTACCTGTGACGAGCTGGTTAATTTAAAACGTCAGGAACTCTTTCTCTTGCTCCAGGCTGGCTGGCTCCTCCTCTCCCCGGCTGCTCAGGTGATTGTTCCGTCACAGCCGCTCCCATTGCTGGCTGCAGGGAAAGCTTCCTAACTCGCGAGCTGTTTACCACAAACAGGCCTGAGAATTGTGTGGGACCTGCTAGCCCAGCTAAGTCCACCTGACATCATGTAAATCTCTCCGCAGTTACTATAGCGCGAGCAGGAGGTGAGAGGGTAGAGCAAACCCCAAATACCAGGCAGTGTAGAGTGTACAGCAGTGACTGTACTGATGTCCTGTGATAGCAGTAGTATACACAGCAGACGTGGGAATTTCTTCCAGTGAGTCAACAAGGACATCGTCAAGCAAAAAAGTAAAATTTCACTGGTTCACAGGCATTACTGCAGAAATAAACCTTTTCATTTGTAGGACAAGTGAATGACAAAGTACGTCTAGAGCAAGTTCCTTTTGCTGAAGCTAATACTTAATCCTCAGGCTTTACTGGCAATGAATTACGTTTCATCCCCAAAGTCTACAGTCAATTCACTTTACAGCATATTCTGTGACGTCTCAAAGATGTGAAAAGGCGCTATATCAAATGCGAGGTTTATTATTATGTTATTATTCACGCAGTGAATTCTGAGATCTGTAAATTGCATTCTCTGTACACCTCCTGTAGGTACCAGTTGAGTTTTGTTTAAATAAATCTCAATACTGATTTTTTTTAAAAAAGTAAATCAATTCTCATCGTTGAAGAGAGTTCTAAGAGTGAGATATCCCACAGGTAATGCTGATAGTAAATCTATTTTGTTTCCTACTTTCTGTTGAAATTAATACTGGTGACAACAGACACAAGGTCAAGCAGCCAGGATCTGCTCTCACGTGGGAAGGAGCCCGAGGTGAGGAATGTCAGGTGAAAACTTGCCCGGAGATCAGCTTGTCAGAAAATACAGGCAATAAGGCTCCTGGAGCCAAGCCAAAGACAGGTTATGGCCAGTAATCATGTGATGAGACGGTTTTCACAAGCTCTGAAATGACTCCCCAGTTTCAAAGGAAGAACCTTTTCAAAATATCGAATATTCCATGAGCAACCACGGGTAACCTCAGACAGCAGCACATCATCAACACATTACTCACACAACGTGCATTCAGAACAGTCAGTCACCGCACATCACTGAGGTGAGTCACTCTATTCTCTTCCCACGCTTACTCAAGGGGCCAAACCTTTATATGGTCACATCAACCCTCAATGGCTCTCATTGGGCAGCTCTGCAATTTTGACGCTTTCAAAGGAACATTTGCCTTTCTTTTCCACATCACTGATTTATTCACAGGAATTTTCCTGAGATCCTGGAGGCAAATACAAGCAGAAATAGCATTTTTTAATGCTCTTGCTGCGTTACCCTGCAGCCAAAAGTGTTTATTCCAACAGAAGACACTTTCAAAGGCTTGTAAAAAGACAGCACATTGTCAGACCCACTGAGAGGCAGCTAAACCTACAGTGGTTGTGAAGGCTGGAAGCTCGTCCTCTGAATCAGTAGCTTAACACACAGTTCAATTCACTCAGCGGGCTGTACAACCATGGACCATATCCTGGTTGAGTCTGATCCTGTCCTTGACCAATGCTCACTTACGAGACCTCCTGCACAGCCAGCAGACAGCAATCAGCAGTGGATACTCCTGGCTACGTTTCACCCTCCCTAGCACAGATGTGCTACTAATGTCAATGGTAAGCACCCCAATGCTCGTTCTGGCCACGTCAGCACAGACACACACACACACAAACACACACAAGAGAAACAAACCTGTGACCTTTCGGTCTGTGCGGCTTAATGTTGACCTTTACCCACCAGTTTCTCACCACAATTAAAGCCCCTTCTTTCCAGCACGTCACAGCGCATGAATACGATTGTCATCACACAGTTATTGACCCAAGAGATGGTCATGTGGCAGGCACGCAGCAGTTGCTGGTGTTAAGACCTGAGTTCGCAGCTCCCAGCCGCTAGACAAACCGCGGTAAGTCAGTGCTGCACTGGAAGGTTTCTAGACGGTTTCTGATGAATAGCCTTCGCCTTCGGTATCTCCTTGAGGAAGGCAGTGGTTTTATTGCGGAAGGTTTTTTATCATCCATTTACATTAATTTTTAAATCGGAATGTGCTTTTTAAAGCAGACATGCTTCAACAACAAGGAAATGCGGTTATGTAACGCTTTTTACATGAGAGAACATCTCAAAGCGAAGTCTGAAAAGTGTAGGCGTGGATTCCAAGCAGGGAAGAGATATAAAGATGGTGACTACAAGCATGGTAAAGAGATACAGGTTTAGAAGTCGGATGTAGACAGGATGAAAAGTAGCAAGACATTAACTTGAGCTCAAATTATTCAGAGCTCGAATCTTGGGGATCCTGTCAGCTCAGCGCCCTTCCGGCTTTGATACAATAAGCATTAAAACATTTGCCATAGGTGGACAGGGAATTCCAGTATCAAAGGCTGATCCAGTCTCTCTTGTTAACGAGACTTGGAAATGTAAGACTGCTTCTCAACATACCAGGTAGGGTGTTCCTCGTTGCAGGAATACTGCACTGTATATACTGGTAAGCCATGGGATTGGTAAGTGACGTGACCGGCCCACAAATACAATAATAATAATGTTCAATCGCCCACAAATACACAGTCACTCCACCTTACAGTTTATCCTGTGAAGCGCTTTGGGACATACCCCGAACATGAAAGATGCTGTACCAAATGCAAGGATTCTTATTATTAGTAGTAGTATATTATATTGGCATTTAAGTAAAATGCTTTGCACAGTTACCATGGATTAGGGAGAGGAAAAGAGAGGGAGATAGGGAGACAGAGAGAGAGGGGGAGGGGGCAGGGGAGGGAGGAAAGGGAAAAGCTCCTCCGAGATGCAGAAGGTCAATATGTTGAAGATTCTGACTGATTAATGAGCAGCTATAATACCTGAGATAGTTTCTATTGATGCAGAATTACATAAATCAGCTGTGCTGTAACCCATCCCTGAGGCCACTCCAGCCTGCCACCATGATTTGATTCCTGCCAACAGCACATCACCTCCATCCACTGTGGCCACACAAACCTAAGCCCATTCATTCATCCATCCATCCATTCATTCATTCTTCCCCATCCCATGCTCATCAACCCACGTTTACGCCAACCCATGCCCCATCATTCCCTGTTCCCCATTCCACATTTCCCAATCCCACACCTACCAATCTCCTTTCACCCGACTTCCCCTCTCCCAAGCCCACCCCCACCTTCCGTTCACCAAGCTGTGTCCTCTATTAGCAGATGAACAAAAGGCAGCAGTTAGCAGTTAAGACAAACACCACATACAGCTAGCTGCCGGCTTGACTTTAGCAAAGCTATTCTTTGGCGGGCACATATCTGGTGCTTATGGTGGCCACTATTTCACCCACCATTTCACTACTAGAGCCACGATAGCATTACTATAGGCCAAGTATCTCAAGGTTAGTATGTATGAGACTGCCACAGGAAATGCCACACACAGTGTTAGTTCACTGTTAGGACGGAGAGTAATTTTACCCTCGTCTTCATCTCTACCTGAGCACCGTCGGGATGGTGCTAGAGAGGCTGGAACACATGCAATACCTGGTTTTATACTTTCCATCTCCAGATCTGCATGCAAAGGGAAACAAGATCAGGACAATCAATGAAGCTTTAGTGCCGTCTCACACCACACGTCTGGTTACCACATTCAACAAATATATATATTTTTTGTCTCTCTCGTTAAAATGGATTCAGAATTTAAGTAAATAAAAGCACCACAAACTTCTCTACAACTACAATCCTAAACCCACCATGTCATTTATTCTCCAGGCTGACTGCTACTTCAGTAATGGAAAATGAAGAGACAAGCCAGGAGTAAAACCACCTGAAACCTCTCTGCCTTTCCATGTGTTTGCGGAATATCAGACGTTGTATCTCACACAACATGCATCGAACAAAACCCAGGCAAGACAAAATGCCTGGGGCTGCAGAGAGACTGATGCTCTGGTGTCAGCATCGCTCTTAGTGCAGCAGCACAGCCCAGCATTAAACACGCCCATAGATTACATTTACGCAAACTAATGAAAACCTTTCACTGGTCCATCGTGTTCTCACTGAACCTCATGCGAAAGCTCTGGAAACTGACGAGGTTGTACTTTGTGATTTTATCCAACGCCTTAATGTAACTTTCTAACATTTGAACTAGTGTGTGCGTCCATTCCTCCCTGGTCTGAATGATAGCAAGAGCTCCTTGTTACAGGCTAATAGGGAAGGTAAGCAATATCTTTGAGACGTCTCGAAGACGTGATAAGGCGCTATATCAAATTCAAGGATTATTATTATATTATTAACATTGCGTCTCATATACGTGTGTCCTGCGAAATTTTCAAATATATATAAATAAAAAATAATAATAATTTCACTGAATCCACAAAAGTTTGTGGGATAATAGTCAATTCACTTTACAGTATATCCTGTGAAGCTTTGAGACGCCTCGAAGACATGATAAGGGTTATATCAAATGCACGGATTATTATTATTAATACAATGAGGTTCAGTGTCGCTCAGAACAAAATGTTGATGTGATCAGTGAACGAGTTAGCAGAGCAGCTCAAGCTAAATATCTACTCTATTGAACTATAACGCTCTTATCTTAAACAGATTCTTTGATGACGACTGGCTGCTGCGATCTATGGGAAAGGAGAAGTGACAACGTACAAGGGGAAAAGTAACTCCAGGAGGCTGGTCGGGTTCCGTGTCCTGGGGAGACTGGGAAAGGACAACCAGAGAAAGGGTTAAATCAATCAACAGTTAAAACAAAAGCTCCCAAACGCGTCCGATTCAGACGTGGAACGATTTAAAGTTCCCACCCCCACCACCCCCTTCCCATCACAACACATTTTCCTTTTACAGTCAGAGGATATTCGCCCACCAAAACTACACAGTCACTTCATTTTACAATATATTTTGCAAAGCGCCTTGAGACACGCATTAAACGCAAGGATTATTATTATTATTGGCATTTAAGCAAAACAAACACCCTGGGTTAGGTTAGGGAGGGGAAAAGATCACCTATAGTTCCTATGCATTACCACAGTGACCCACTGCTGGAAAGTGTCTGTGAGAAGACTTTCAGTGAACATTAGCATTATTATTATTTTGAAAGAAATTCGAACTGCGTTTCTCTCCAGTTTACAGCAATGAGAAACCGCACAACAAAGGTTTCTATAATCAATACTTTTTCTCTCGGCTTGTACAATTCTCCTGCACTGGCCGGCAATAGCTCATTACACGTCATCACATACACGTCTCTCTCACCTCCCTCTCCTTGTCCCCGGCATGCCTGAGGAAGATTAAGTTGCGTGCAATTGAAAAAGCAACAAGCGATGTGGTAATTTTCCAATTTGACACAAAAGACTAAATCTGGAATGTTCTGAGCCGCTTACGTTTCTATGGAAATAACAGATTCCACAAGTCTTGGGGACGTGGAATGCCTCGCCAAGCAAAGGTGTTAGAAGCAATGTGTGCTTCAAAGGGGAAGGAGATGGGCCACAGATTGACCACCGCTATTCCTACACTGTAAATTTCTATGATTCTGTGACCTGCCAACCTCCTTGCCCTCCACGGCAATTTCCTTCCGTGCGACATCACTTCCCTCAGGTCTCTAAGCTGTAGCTCTTGTTAAATGATTCCCCGCAAATATTTCCAGACATTTCAATTTACAGAATTGGTTTTCCAGGACTTGAATATTTTTCCCGTTTAGATCCTTAACCCTTAAAAAAAAAATGTCCCACTGGTGAAAATTGCTGTACCGTTTATTCATTTGTTTCCCCTGAGCAACAGACAAACCATATTTGGAACCACCACGTCAAGCAATTGAGTAACTGCAGTGAGAATGCAGCAAACGTGCGCAGTGTGCTTGCTACACAGAGGAAGACACCGGGATTTTGAAATTCCAACATGCAGAGCATTAAATGCCAGAACACTCAGAAACAGGTTTATAAACAAGCCAAAGACAAGTCAATCAAGTTACCAGCGTAGGGCACCAGTCAGACAGTGATCAATGGGCACTGGTGAACACTGGCAGCAACACACCAGATAGGTCTACGTCCCAGTGTGAACATAGCAAGGACGACGAGAAGAGGAGAGAGGAGAGAGGATCACAGCAACCAGTAGATGTTATATTTGATGCTAAAGATTTCAGTGTGAGGATAGGATGATAGGATCCAGACGTGACCAGGCAGAGTAGCTCAGTTCAAGGTTCTGGCATAATTAATACATCAATGTTAATGTTAAACCCTGTCGTGTACACAGGGTGATCAAAAAGTCATGATATCTGCCCTATTAGCTTTAAAAAAACCTAAAATATCATCATTTCTTTAAGACTTGTTGGACATTGTAATGGTATCACAAGTTTTTGGTCACCTGGATACACTCCCAGCTGAGATCCAACAGGAGTCTGAGACTCTGCTACAGTGAGCTGTGTTTCCTGATCAGTAGTCTACGATTATCTGTTTTCAGTAACAATCTGTTCTCGATGAGCTCATTGAACCTACGCTTGCTCTGCCAGGCAATAATGCAGAGATTTAAATTTCAGAAGCACTTACGATCCATCAGGAATTTCTGAAAGTCCGTCTAAAGGTCAGTCTTTAGAATCTGCAAAGGACACTCCATGCTTCAAGTTGATGTGAAAGATCACAGCCAACACACACGTGTTTTTTTTCTCTCTCACTCTTTGTTTCTCCTACTCAAATGTAACTCACTGGCTCCTCGTATCAGTAAATGATGTCCGATGATGCCTACACTTAAATTATTGCATAAAGCAATTTGAATATTACTTTTCTAAAAATACCAATTAAAAGTATAAAATATATCTAAAATATTGGGATACTTTAGCATTCCGTAGAATGTCCGCATCATTTGTCAACCAGTATTCCTACTGCCAATGCACCCCCTCTGGGAAGCAATGCATTACAATCGAGAGGTTCAGAGGGCTGAAATTCCTGTCAGCATTGAAATTGATGATGGCGGGTTCAGATTCTAATGGGACTTGCCCATTATATTAGCACATTCTTAAAGTCTACACTTAACACTGAGAGGAGTTCCAGCCCTCTGCTAGCCACATTGGCCAGCAATGGGTTCAATGGTGTCACTAAAATGCAAGGAAAATAAATGATTACTGTACCTGGCTTTGACATGGTGCTGGTTACAGAATGAGGAACTTTATCATTAATGAGCTCCACACACTCACTGGGAAAGAACCCAACCTGCAAACCAAACAAAGCCAATCGTCAGAAACGCATTTACACTGCAGATCCCACATCACCTCATCGTGCAGGGGATTTAGGGTTTGGAGCACGTTTACTTTCTGTATTTCTGCTCGTCAGAAAGTTACAGCACAGAAGGTGGTCATTGTTGGTTTCCTCACCTGAAAGCCATGCTTTCCCCTCCACCACGTGGTGTCCTCTTTGGGAGGCATGTCAATAACTGAGACAATATCTCCAACCTGGAACGTAGGAGGGCAAATGGGTTTTTAGTCCTTCATTTAAACTCCCTCCCTCTCCGCCTTCACCGGTCCACAGCCTCTCACAGTCACCCACGCAGACCGAAACATAAGAATTTGCTCCTCTGCTCCTATCTGCCCTCCCGCCCGTGCAATCTGGCTTTGACCTCCTGCAGTTTTTCAGTAAGTTACCTCGAAGGAGAGCTCGTCAGTGGCTTGGGCGTTGTATCGCTTTATGACGTGAGCAGCAGCAATGGCAGGGACGTTGATGGAGGACTCTTCATGCACCAATAGATGGTTCCCTTTGTTATCAATCTGTCAGGCAGAGTTGAATGGTCAGTGGCAGTTTACAGGTATGTGGCGAGAACACAGGCAGGACAGGACTCTTCAGTGTCTAACACAACCACACACGCAGACAAGAGATCTGCCAACATTAATGTTCATTTGTTTTGCTGAGTTTCCATTTTGTTTTTGAAGTGTAAATAGATAACAATCTGAGGTTACTGGTTTGAAAGGAGTTATAGAGGCAGAAACACAGATCGCTCAACATTATTGTTCTCGAAAATCCTGCTCAGCGAATCACCCTATAACACAAGTCAGTCACAATCGCTGCTCAGACAAAAAGGGCAATCCCAAATTCAGAACTCAATGCAACCTTCTAATTTTTACACGGACTCGTAAACAGCTGTGTAGATCACAGGGAAAAAAGTCAAGTGAGAAAGAGAGTTTCAGAGCGAGGAGGGCTGACAAAAGTGTGGTACTTTATTTTGGTCTGACATGTGTGGAAAGCCATCCCATAGTACTGTAGCACAGCTACTGATAAAACAATTATTTAGTTGATTTATAGCCATTTTATATTTTGAATGACATCCAATAACCACACAATCTGCTTTCTCCACAATGGGGTCATTCCCAATTAGTGCAGATAACCAGCTCTCTACTGCAGAAGGACACGAGTTCCCTATTTTCTGCATGAGAATAGGTTTCGTAATGTTAAACAACATCCAAAGGGGCATTGCAACCTGAACTCACCGGAGAGATATTTATGTAAGAACAGAATACAGGGTCACATAGAGATGGAACAGTGTAAGAGGCTTCTATGTAAAAGTAATGCATTAGCATCAGGGCCTTCTGCTGCACGGGCATTTGGAGCCTGACTGCATTAAGGCTATCCTAATCCCAAGGTTAACATGATGGAACCACAGCTCTTGAAAGGCTGAATCAAATTAATGGATTTGTATTCTAAGAAAGTAATGCATTTCCAGTGTCGAAGGACATTGAGCCACAGAACTCACCAAGCATTCCCCGAGAGATGGATTGCTAATGCACAGCATTCAGTCTGCGTTCTTGAGAGTAAAATGGTGCAGTTTATTTTAAAGGACTTGAGATAGGAAGCTACAACAGATGTCAATCACTGCAACTGCATATTTAATGAAAATCTAACCAATTTACACCAGTGTTAAGGCCAATCTGAAATCAGTGGCAGGTGAAAGAACATGGCAAAGAGAAGCAGCAACACTCACAAACCTCCTTCCACATGAGATGGCAAACTAGGAACTCAATAATACTCAAACATTCCGACAAAATATTTGCCACAGATCTTGTAAACCCCACAACTGCTGTCCGTAAAAACTTACCGGCACTGGTAACTCACACATCGCTCGGTTCATTGACTGAAAGGAAATGCAAGGCAAATAGCTGCCGGGGATGTGAAACACAACACACTCAAAGTCACTACAATTTACCACAAGTGGATTTTTAATGAAGGTCTAACTAACGTGCACCAGTGTGATCTCCACGTGAGACCAGTGAGGCACAAAATAAGGTGAGGGAGAGAATGAGCAGCACACGTACCTCCATCCACGTGAGTGCTGGGCCACAGTTGATCTTGTTGTCTGCGATCACAGAGAGCCTGGTGAGATAGGCCATCAGCATCTGGGTCACAATCTGTGAAAGCAATACATAGTTGGATCCACTGAGAAAGGCAAAGAGCAAACACAGATTGTTAAACACTTCCTCATGATAACAATTACCTCCCCCGATCTAACAAAGTATATGCTGTTGAACTCACACAGCAGTGAAAGTGCCTTCAAAAAACAGATAATAATAATAATCCTTGCATTTGATACAACGCCTTATCACGTCGTTGAGACGTCTCAAAGCGTTTCACAGAATATATTGCAAAGTGGATTAACTATGCACTTGTCAGCAAAATGCAGGAGTCAATTGAGCACAGCAGTGTCCCACAAGCAGTCGTGGATTGAGTGACCCAATTTTTTTAAATATATACTATTGTTTTCTCAAGGTATTATTACTCCTGGGAAAGTGATCCGCGAATTGACTAACACCTGGGTTACTTCCTACTTACTGCTAGGTAAACAGAGGAGTGTGGAGTTGCCCAACATTTCGCCCCGCCCAGGAATCAAACTCAGGTCCTCTTGCTTGCGAGGCGAGTGTGCTAACCACTTAGCTCCAAGACTTCACTTGTATGATCACTTTGCAGTGGCTTAATTTGTGTTCTACTGGAGAGATAGGATGCTTTACATTCTTCAAAGGTATTTTGTGATGAAGGTCAGTGAAAGACAGGTTTTACAAAATCAGTTGTGGGGAAGATCCCGTCACAGGAGGAGGTGTGAACGCAACTGTGACAATGACTGGTTCATCAGAATAATTCAGTGAATTGTATTGCTCAAGAAATCCCGCTGTGAACTTGACAGAATTCATTCCACTTCATTAAACTCTGTTCATTTTGCAAAAACAAGCAACGCTTTAGGCCACTTCAAATCGGTGTACAAATGAAAATTAATTTCACAGCACAAACCGCTCAGGACAGGAGTGCACAAAGCATGACAACAAAGGGATAAGACGGAAGCTTTCCACCATTTTCATTCTGTTTAGAAAATCAGAGTGTATTTATTCCAGTTAGTAACTTGGCCCCACATTTGCAGAAAGTGCTGATTTTATTTAAACTATTTTCGTTCCTCACTGACCTGTTGAACGACCCGCTGACAGATATCAGTTAAAACAACACAATCACATCTTAACACTTACAATCTTCAATATTTCACTGAGCCACATCCAGATCAAGCTGAATGGAAAGTCAGAATTCTCCTGAGTAAAGTATTTTACTGAGGGATTCCTTTACGCAGTTTACACTGCCTCTCAGCCTGTCCTTTCCCACACGACCCACCAATAGTCTGTCCAGGGCACAGTGCCCAAAAGGGACTCTACCATTCATTGCCACAACATGCCAAGATCCTCCCCACCCCCGGATTACCCCCTCTCTTCTAAACCTCCTTTTAAACCTTCTGAAACTCCTTTATCACCTCAAGGCTGGACTATGGGAACTCTCTCCTCGTCGGCCTTCCCGGCACCTCCCTCCACAAGCTGCAGGTCATTCAGAACTCTGCAGCTCGTGTACTGTCGTGTACCTCCACTGCTCCCCATCCCCCAGAGGATCGAATTCAAGATCCTCATCCTCACCTACAAGGCCATTCACGGCCTCGCTTCCTCCTACCTCTCCGACCTACTATCCCCCTACTTACCTGCCCGTACCCTCCGTTCCTCTGGCTCCGGTCTGCTCCACATCCCCCGCCCCAACCGCCCTACCATCGGTGGTCGGGCCTTCAGCCTCTCAGCCCCGAGGCTCTGGAACTCTATCCCCCAGTGCCTTCACCGCTTCCTCCCTTTCCTCCTTCAAGGCCGGTCTCAAGACCCTTCTCTTTGCCTGTGCCTTCAGCTCCTCTCTCGACTCTCTATCCCCTCCTCGCTCCCTCCCTTCCCTCCCCTCACCCTGACCATTTCCCCCCTGCTCGGGTCCTGACCTAACTGTCCAGCGCCTTGGGACATCCTCCCGACGTGAAAGGCGCTCTATAAATGAAATCTTGTTGTTGTTGTTTTTGTTGTTTTCCCAGTCTATAAAGATTACGTCTTTTTAATCTTACTTCAAAGCTCATCTCTTTTACACTTGGGGTTGGTTTTGTTGCTCTTTCCAGTCCCTTTTTCAAACGGAGGTATAATCTCTATTGTGTTGTGATGATCAAAAGTGAGCAACCCATTCTGTGTGTGTGTGTGTGTGTGTGTGGTCTGACTGGTGTCAGAAGAATACAGAGATCAGGAGAAATGACAGCCAGGCAGAGGAAAGACAATGATAATCTTGTTCAGATCGGTACTTTGGGAGGCGGTGGATGGGAGGGCGTAAATGATGGAGTGGGAATCGCTGGCTTCCTGGACCAGGACTTATTGATATTATAGAAATTCTGCCTGCTCTTATTTAAAGCTTTTAGTTCTGCTGACGGCTGTGGGAGCTGATGAAAATTATGCCTGTGCACTTGTGGGATTAAATCTCTGAGAAATGGAAAGATTAAAAGGCACGGGTAAGGATGATGCATTGTCCCAGGGTTGCACAGTTCATGCGCTGGGAGGTAATTTCCTCTTGAAGTTTGAATATTTATGTGACAGCTGAGAGCTGACTACATCATTGCTGTAGGTTCTGCCTGTCACATCGATGTGCAAAGCCGACTAATATATTATTTTCGCTTCTCTTAAGAAAATTCCTAATTACTTTTCAAAGCTGGCTGTGTTTTCAATTTTAGAAATGGAGGAACAACAACAATTGACATTTACCCGGCGTCTTTCATATTGGGAGGACGTCCCAAGGCACCGGGCAGTCAAGGATTTGGACCCAAGTTGGAGGTTGGGATCAGAAGGAGTGGAGATTGGAGGGTGACCAAAGGCACAGTTGAAGCGGAGTGTCTTGAGACTTGCCTTGAAGGAAGTGAGGGAGGGAGCAAGGGAAAGTGACTTGATTCTATTGTGGGATGGAGTTATAAAGGGTGGGGGCAGAGAGGCTGAGGGCCTGACCACCAATGGTGGGGGGGCCGGGTGGGGGATGTGGAGCAGGCCGAAGCCCGTTGAGCAGAGGGAATGGACAGGTGGATATGGGGTTAGCAGGTCATGGAGGTAGAAAGGACCGAGGTCTTCGAGGACTTTTAAGGCGCGGACAAGGATTTTGGACTCTGGGGGTCGGGGAACCAGTGGAACCGGGTGAGGGTGTTAAGGTCATGAGAGTCAGCTTTCACACAAAGTCAGGGGCTATAAGGAGAAGGAAACTGATCGACATGCAGTAATGACTGCTCAAAGCTGAACTCTGATGAACAACGAGTAAGACGTGATAACTCACATTTAGAGATTGCAATTAGATTTTTTACTGGTGCGAATGATCGATCAGGTGGAGCGAGAGAGAGAGAGAGAGAGAGAGAGAGAGCACTCGGCAAAGCTCATAAACCAAGAACACAGCCAGTGCACTGATTTCCCAGCTCTAACCTGTGAGCAAACATCCATCAGTGATGAAACCAAGACTAGCCTCCAAGGTCAATATCGGAGGGATATACAGGTGGAAACCATTTCCAAGAGGGAACTATCCCATTTACATTGCACCCAAAACAATCAAACTTTCAGCACGTTTTTCAAAAAGCATTTCAGCCATCTTCAAAATCCTTTACAAGGTCTTTACCATATTTCACGGCCCTGGAAAGAAGCTTTGACAAGATTTTGGGGACTTCTTTAACTGTCAACAGTGATGGGATGCAAACAGTAATCTACAGTTGTTGCTCCTCTGAGATGTTGGGATAGAATCATCAATAACTGTAACTCACGCAGGTTCACTCTCCCTGCACTGCGTACGGAGACAGTTTCAGGCTCAGCAGAATGGTGGAGGTTTATATCAGGGAGAAGGGAATAGAGAAGCGAGCGTACGAGGAATAGGAGGCACGTGTCGTGTTAAACAGCACCAACTTTGTTAGAGCACGTTGGCGTTTTATGGTTCCCGACCACTGCATTGTAACGGGCTCCAAAGTATGTGCATTCCAAACGAGGAGAAGCCAGACACGATTTGCAAACGTGTCCCTGGAGCTTAGGCTGATGAGCGCAGCTGCCTGGATCCTCCTGCCATCTCCCTCCTGCACATTTGGAGCTCATCAGGGATGCACTAATATTTGAGGAAGTCTACTCCAGCTGTCCCCCTTCCCTCCTCGTCCCACAACAAAATAACTGCACTCTATTTCCTCCCTTCCCTTCCCACACAGGCAGCAACAAGCAGCTGTATATGTACACCGTACCTCCGCAGGCTCCTTCAGCCAGCCTGTGCGGGGCAGCTCAGCCAACTGGGAGAAACGTCGGTCATAAATACACAAGTGAAGGTGTTTGTCCAGGACCCGGAAATCCTCATAGCTCCTCTTCACAATCCAACTCCTGCCCTGCGGACAGAAGAGAATTTACTGGAGACATGATCATCACAATAAGCCTGTGTCCCTGGGGAATAATGTGAAGTTAACATCGAGTTCTTAACAACAACAAACAACAAATGACATTTACACACAGAGCCTTTCACGTCGGGAGGGCGTCCCAAGGCGCTGGACAGTCAGGGATTTGGACCCGAGCAGGGGGTTGGGATTATGGAGGACAGTGAGGGTGGGGGTGGTAAGGTGACAGAAGGCGCAGTAGAAGAGGAGGGTCTTGAGACATGCCTTGAAGGAGGCAAAGGAGGGAGCGTGGCAAAAGGACTGTGGGATGGGGGTGGGGGGGGGAGAGAGGGAGGGAAAATAATCAATGGAAGAGCAATAATTGTTAAAAAAAAACTCAATCAATCCATGACTGTTTTGGGGACACTTCTGTTTGATGGTGTGTTTCACAAAATACACAGCCAATTCACTTCACAGTATATTCTGTGAAGCTCTTTGAGACGTCTTGAAGACGTGATAAGGTGCTATATCAAATACAAGAATTATTTTTATAAAGCCTGCCAACTGTACAGGGTCGGGGACACACATAACTAATCTCAATAATAAAAATTAATCTCAGGATCTGTGGAATGGGTTAAAAAAAAGTCAGCCCACTCCTGGATCAGCGGTCAAGAGAACAGATTCTAAGAACAAAGTCTTTTTACAAAATAATCTATTTTCCCAAGAAATGGCTGTGCTAAATCAAACCATCTGTCGGTATATTTTTTTTTATTTTATACGACTCCAAAGCCAACGTGAAGGTCTGTGATCCACTAGGAATTAGCCAGAAACTGCCAACGCTTGTTGATTTCTGACCCTTAAAGCTGCAATCCATCACCAGCGAGCAGACCCTGCGAGTTTCCCACAGCCTGTGCACAGCTTGCCCCGCTTGTCTGTGTGAGCGAGGCCATCTCCTGACAATCACTGCAAAATGTACTGTAAAAACCCAGCTCTTTTGGGAACTAGGTAAGGAAGTGGTGCTGTCAATCTCACAGCACATGAGAGACGCAGACGCCCCCCCCTTTCCCCCTGTCCCCAGAGCACTGACCGACTCACACTGTTTAGTGGGCTGGAGGGTCGCAATTTCTAAGTCTCTGGAGAAATCACAACACTTTTTACTTCGGGCCCCTGACTCATCGCGGTGTGAGCTGCACCAACTCCGTTCTCACGACTTCCTCCATAATAAAAAATAATTTCAGCTCCAAACCGCCTATTGGAAACTTAAGACACGAGTGTCTGCATCATCTAACCCCACTGCCTGAACTCTAAGGTGTGCTGCCCCCATTGAAGTGCTTGATAAACGGACCGAATTAAGCACCAACCAGTAATCGATGAGCTTGTGGCAGTAACATTTATCCTCTGTTGCGTGCCTGTCAGCATGCATCTTGTGTATGGCGTGTTCTGGCCCCCAGCACGTCCCTACAATATCTGCTTCTAGTAGAACTGATATCAAATAGAAGCGAGCCGTGCCATGAACTCACACAGAGTACAGCATGGGACGAAAATACCACTTAAAGTCTGCCGTCTCAGCTTGAGGTTCAAGTAATGGTTCTCAACTCCAGCGTTTAAATCAAACAGTAAATTGCCTGTTGAGCAAATGGTGGGATCAGAGAAATTGACAGCACAGAAGGAAGCCATTCAGTCCTTCGAGCGAATCTGTTCTGGCTCTCAGAGCAAGCTGTTCATTCAATCCCACTGCCCCGCTCCATCGCCACAACCCTTCAAGCCTCTACGTTCTTAACATAGGAACAGGAAGAGGCCATTCAGCCCTCGAGCTTGTTCCACCATTCTATAAGAACATGGCTGAACTGTACCTCAACTCCAGTTACCCGCTCTTGCCCCATATCCCTTGATACCCTGACATAACAAACATCTATTCACCTAAGTCTTCAGAATTTTAATTGATTGATGCTGAAACCTGTTCTATCAGCTGAGTGGGAGTGACAACATAAAACCACCACTAAAAATGCTTCCAGTTTCACTGATAAGCACAGAATATTCCAATTGATAATCACATAAATAAAGCAGTAAAAATGCCCTCCGACACTGAGGGTCACACATAAATAATTGCCAATGGACCACAGGAACACACTCAGGTCAAAGGTAAAAAGGCATCAACGTCTTCAGGAGCAGTTAAGACCGGCAGATAATTGTAGGAGGAAGTCAGGATTCTCCCTCTCACCTACAAATCCCTGCAGAATATCGCTTGCCCTTCCGTCCCTACCCCTGTACTCCTCTCTAGCCTCACACTCCCCTCCACTCGGCTAACACAGGCCTGTTACGTGTTCCTCAGATCCCTGCTGAAAACTGCAGGTGTGAAAACAGGATCGAACCCAGCTCCGATGTTGACTGTCTTGTGGGTATTTCTTTACAGAGAGCGTAATCGACAGCTGGAACAGGTTACGAGAGGATGAGTGAGGCCAGAACATGCTGGACTCATATATAAGAAACAGCTTGATGCTTCATGTAATGGGAGGACTTCAGGGTATGGAAGTTTGAGATTAAATGGGTCATAGGGTCTTCTTCATCCCAACCTCTCGTGATCTTGTCTTGCCACACGCAATGTCAAAAGGCTCTGACTGTTCAGAGCTGCTAACATCCACACGATTTCACTCTTAGTTTTGCAAATAACTGTGCTCAAAACACACATGTTGAGTAGAAACCTGGAATATGTTTGCTACTTGTTAATCCTTCTCTACTCCACATCCTCTTTGCATTTCTGATTCCACACATACCTCCCCAGCTGCGTGAAGATTCTCAGAATTTCCAGGGCTGAATGTCGTAAAGTAGAATCACAGAAAGGCAGAAATCATTCCTAACCAAACGGAAGACAGGTTTTGTTTCTCCTTAGGGTAGAAATACGCCTGTAAAACCTGTTCCTCTATGTGTGGAATGACGTGAGCTAAATGAGAAAATGTTGCAGTACATGTGAATTATAATAATCCTTGCATTTGATATCGCGCCTTATCACGTCTTCAAGACATTTCAAAGTGCTTTCACAGAAAGTTATTGTAAAATTAATTGACTGTATATTTTGTGGGCAAAACGCGGCAGCCAAATGCGCACAGCAGTGTCCCACAAACAGTCATGGTTTGAGTGACCACACTATTATTTTTTTTGGAAGGGATTATTGCCCCTGGAAAGCGATCCGCCAATCGACTAACAACCAGGTTCCTACTTACTGCTGGGTAAATAGAGGTGTGTGGAGAAAGGAAACTTGTCTAATATATGAAATACCAAGAATACAACAACCTGCAGCAACTTTCACTCACAGCGCAATCAATGGGAGCAGTTGAAGCTGACGTTGAGGACACAAACAACAACAACAAAATTGCATTTATAGAGCGCCTTTCACGTCGGGAGGACATCCCAAAGCACTTCTTTACTGTCCAATCCTGAGCTGTGGGGAGGTGGTGTGTCTGGGCTGCTGCTCTGACTGTAGCTCTCTCTGCACGCAGGGAATGCAAGCTCAGCGTTTGTGCACTGAGCAACCTTCTCAGCTGCCAAAATACCTCCATACTGCCTGGCAATCAGCCAATTATTGATTTTCTGGGTTGACTCTCTCGCTCTGCTCTCTCTGAGCTCAAAGAGAAAGCTGCCTGTGACGTTTCTGGCTGAAACCCCTGAAACAGCCTCAATACAAATGCTCTGTCTCTATTAACTCCTTCATTGTCTGCCTGTATGCCTCCGACTGCAGTATTAGTTAGCCCGGTTTCACAGAGATGCGCATCCACTGGGATCTGAGCAATCGGAGGCTGGACACCCGTGTAGCACTTTCATTAAGCAGAGAGACAGAGTGGCTGGTTTAATGGGACACCAGCAGATCAGCCAGTGGGGGGTGGAGGGGTGGAGAGGGGATCCTGGATGGTGAGACACACACCCCATGACAGGAGACAACCCTGGTTTACTGTACGAGGAAGGCAAAGTTCTACATGAGTTTTAAAAGCTTTGCTCATCTATCAAATAAACTAGAAAATTAACCTTTCTGTTCTTCACAACAACCACAACAACTTGTATTTATTTACTGTCTTTCAGGTGGGGTAGCGTCTCGGAGCACTTAAGATTCTTAGAATAGCTTCTTAAATTCCATATGAACCGTGATGTGAAATTTGAAATTATAAGTAAAGATAGGAAATAAGTACTGATTGTCAAGAGATTTACAGGAAAACAATGAGGAAGCTATTTGTTGACCAGAGGGTCGCTATCAAACCCCTCAGCCTTGTGCACAGCTGCAGTGAAAATATAAGGCAGGTCCAGTGCTGGTATCCGCTGATAAATCACGTAACCTGTTACTGTATAAGGCACTGGTTAAACTCCATCTGGTGTTCTGTGTGCCGCACTGATCACCAGTACTATATAGGAAGTACATTATTGCTCTCCAGAGGGAAAGCGGAGTGGCAAAGAGGTTTCAAGGCCTCAGGAATAATGTTATGAGGTTAAAGGGAATATCCAAGAACATCCTGTTCTGAGTATATCCCCCAGCGATAATATATCTTATATCTGTAGTCATGAATTCTTGTATTTAGCACATCCATCCCAGCTCACTCCAGTAAATGTCTGGTCCCATCTTCACGTCCCCACACTCAGTGACAGATTTGAGATTTTAATATATGTTTTTGTTTACTGACCTTCGATTCAAGACCCTCCTCTTTGACTGCGCCTTCGGCCATCCTGCACCCTACCCCTCCTGATCCCAACCTCCCCCCCACCCAGCTCGGGTCCAAATCTCTGACTGCCCAGTGCCTTGGGACGTCCTCACTGTGAAAAACGCTGTGTAAATATAATTTATTGTTGTTGCTGGAAAGTAGTAACTGGGCATAGCTTCATACTGATCACAGAAAGCCTTTCAGAAAGCTGGGAAAGGAAGACAATATAAGCATCGCCTGTATAATGATTGTAAGCAGTAAATCAGAATGTTGATTCACCACGGAACAGGCAATGTAAAGTGAACATAGAATTGACACGGTAGTTGTGCCCATGTAATACAAGAATTGTAATGTACAGGGATACCATATTGGCGATGGAGCATAGTTATGAAAAGTTTGTTCAGTCCATCAAGCCGACTACCTCCACAGCTCAACGGTAATTCTTAATGGATTGATGGTTACCACACATCAGTCAATGCATTCGAGAAGAGTGAGAGTGTGGATAATACCAACATATCGCTGACACAGAGATGCTCTTAAAGTTAAAGCTACTCAACAAACCATCAAATGGTGCTAATTTGGAGTTGATGAACAGATCAGCCTGAATGGCCTACTCCTGTTCCTATGTTACACCTCAAACGATAGGACCTCTAGGATTCTTCAACTCTGACCCCCATTATGTTCATGAGCATCAAGGAAATCCAATGAAAGCGGAAACACATGAGGTATTATTTACTATAAACTTTAATTCATTCTCAAACTGTTGCAATGGTATTTAGAAAAGCAAATCAATGAGCAATATAACAGCAACGCAGGCCTTTGCCTCCACAACACACTCAACCCCATTGAAAAACGATGGCTGTACATGGGTTACCATTACCACATTGCTGAACATGATCTTCCGTTCCCTTCCAGAGGAAAGGGGAGATTTCAGCAAAGCCCATCACAGCAGGCTACAGGTCAGGACCTTCCTGAAATGTAGGATATAAATTCCTTTCTCGGTCGGGGGCAAAACCGTGCAAAAGACAGAGGAGGTATCGGCCGAACATGTGCAGGCTAATCCTGTAAGTTCACACCCCAAACAGAAATGCAATAACTTCATAAATCCAGGAATACTGTCTCCTGCAAGTCCGCAATGCTCTCAGATTTATGGGGCTTGGCCTTAGGTTCGGAAAGATGTAAACACATTTTCATATGGTTAATGTTAAAATATTCCTAAAATACTGAACAGTAAAACGTCAACACTACAAAGTATATACAGGTTCCTGAACCTAGGCAGCTTACACCAGCAGAGAGGACAAGGGCTGAACTGTTATCATTGTAACAGTCATCAGTAAAGAATTGTGGCTCTTGATAGACCAAACCTGCTATGGGTGTCTGACTGCCACATTATGTTGTGCCATAGCTCCTATGGGTACGTCTTCCTTTACAGTGGGAAGAAAGGTTGCCTTTCACTTGTTGAATACTGGACTGTGCTTTGCTGATCTCCACATAGTCATCCATCAGCTGCTGTCCTTGCTGCAGAGTGGAACAAACCTAAGCAGGAGAGTAGGATCAAACACTGGTGATGGAGGGAGGGCAGTGTCACAAAGCCAGGTTTACTCACAAGCTGCATGATAAATACTCTATATTCCTGTCTCAGTCATACCCTCGCTGGAGCCAGTTTATCATTCTGAAGTTGCTATTATCCACAAAATATTTCCCTTAGGATACAACGTGCTTAAGCCGTTTGCCAGATCATACAGGGCAGAGATGGTTTAAAGATACTATTATACTGCATACTATACAAGTATACACCATTAGGCTCTGAGGCAGATCCTATCGCATTTTCAGATCCCCAAATCTTCTTGGAGAGCAGCTGAGGTGTACAAACATACTCTGCTTCGCTATTAAATCCAAGTGTGAGGTTTCCAATCCATTGCTACAAGAATCGTCCCAGTTTACAATGTTAAATCGTGTTACAATCCAACGTATTTACAATGCGTGCTTATCGCAAAAACAATTTAAAATTGCTGTTAAAAGAATGCATTAAAACATCCTTTCCAATGGCTTAATGGCTTAATGGCTAATGGCTTTGAAAAATTTTCAAGCTTAGTAAATATAATTTACAATTACATTCTATATTGTAACTGTAACTCAAAACTGGCTCTTGTTCAATTGTGAGCCTGGAGAGTGAGTGTTATCAGGAGAGCCAAGCCCATTCTGCTAATCACTTGATATCTATAAATGGGCGGCTTTCAACCAGTGGTTAGAGATAGACATGGGAACCTGGATTGTACCTCTCTCAAGCCCCCCCCACCCACTCCGCTGTCCCAACTATGATCAGCCAACACGGGAAAATTAAAACTAGGATCCTCTTGGTCTACATAGCTCCATTTCAAACTTTACTGAGTGAATCCTCGTCATTACACTGGCTGTATCATCCCTGACTGCACCCTAACAGAAGAATAAAAGGCTAAAGCTGATGATGTAATAATCAGAAAGAGTTGGTTACCTCAGAAGCTTTGTCATGTCCTAAAAATATCTCAATCGCAATCATACTGTCAGAGGGAAATAAGCCCCCACTCCCCTCCCCAATCAGACACATAAAGAGAGGGCAGAACTCAGAGGTGGAGCCAATTCTCTTCTGCAAAGTAAATGAAGCAGAGAAGATAATTCATTATTTCAAAAGTAATTGGACAGGTGCTGGAGCTTGGGACTCCCCTCTAGGAGATTTCCTGCTCAAGTGCTTTTTTTTAAAACCACCGTTCCATTCTCTGAAGATCATTCACATGATAAACTCAGGAACCAACATTCCTATTGTTTGAAGGGTGTGGTAGGCAATGTTCTAATAAGGCCCAATTTCCCCAACCACATCCCTGCCAATCTATCTGGGCAAAAACTAAAATAGTACAAAGACCAAGAAAAAGGATCTGTAACGGGGGCTGGAGGAGAAGTGATATGAGGAATGAAGTGCAGGCGGTGTGAGCGTGCAATAAATGCCAATAAAAATTTCAAGCGAAGTGAACAGCAGAGAGATAATTAGCAAAACCCCCTTGTTATATGGAACAGCCTGAGAAAAGCAAAACAATTCGTCTTGTACACAGACTGTAATGGGAGTGACTTTGATCGATGCTCACATCAGGAATTTGCTTGGATCAGGCTTTCCTGTAAATGGATTCAGGGAGTTTATCTCCAGGTTTCTATGGCAATGCTGCTCGTTACATGATTGGAGTTTACTGCATGCCGTGTGGTGAACGTAAAATGTGTTGTAAAGACAAACCAGACAGGAACAGATCAGAATACAGCCTGAATCTCCCTGAACTCGTCTATGGCCAGTGAGTTGAACAGCTATTTACTGTACACAGCGTCCCAGTGTCACTGCGAGCGCTGTGTGTGCCAGCCTTGGGCCTGTTTACCCACCAAGCCGGGAGACTTGTGTTCCTAACACTGGTTATTCGGACTCCCTGGATTTTATTCTGACTGTTTTCTGTGGCTGTGTTATCTCTTCTATTCAACCTCCATTGTATTGTGTCCACTGGCTCACAGACACTCACCAGGCAATACATCATGGCAGGGATTTCTTCTGATTGAAGAAACAAACAACAGCTTGTATAACCTTACCTGACAGGAGACCTGAACCAGAAACACAAGGTCCTTGGTATCAGCGCCATTTCTGGTCACATCATTCTGTTCCTCCGTCAAGGCCAGCTAAACAGACAGAGGAATGGGGAGGTGGGGGAGGGGAGGGGAAAGACAGAAAGAAAAAGGAAATATTAGGTCAGTGATTGTGGAGAAACAATCCAGTAAATAATGCACAAGGTCCTGAGGTTTATCGCTGAACCTGAAGTGTAACACAGCACAGTCTGTGCTCTGTGAATTGCACAGAGGCAGCAATATTACCGGTTCAGTCAGAAAGCTCATCAAAGACTTACGGTGACTTACATCCAATCAATGTTCCCAAATTAAATGGCTTTATGACATGAAAGCGAAAGTTCATTCACAGCTCGGATTCAAAGCGATTGCATTCGATCAGCACAAACACACCCAAACCTGCCCGAACCTCGTAAAAACGAACAACACACGATTAGCAGCAATACAAGGGTCATCCTTTTATATGCTTCAAATCCTTTTGTGCCTTTTCCAGTCCTGACCCAATACAAGCTGGCTCCGGCATTCAATTTAGCACAGCAAATCTCTCTCATCCCTTTTCCAATTACAACCCTCAGATTACTGTTGCAGAAATAAAACATGTTTATATGGCATTGTCTGTGAGGTATTCACACCACAGCTGACACACAGAGTTTAATGAGAATGAAAAAAACACATGAGTTTCTATACAAGTGTTTTTGCTTTCTCGAGATGCACATTCATTCGGAAACAAAAGATTCTTTAAACAAAGCCTCAATACACATTGCAAAGTGGACAACCCCACTGTAGTCTGGCACTTACCCTTGTTAACAATTTCCCTTTCTCAAAATAGGCAGAGGCCTAGGAGATCTCTCACGGCCATGTCCACACACCGGCTACACTCTGAAGCTTCAAAGCCAAAATAAAATACCGTGCTTTACGTGCTGGCCTGAATACCAGCCTGAAGAAAATCCAGCGCCTCTACTGAACAGTGCTTCCTGTGAATGTCCGGATTGTTTAATACCTGGAGCCGCTGCTATCCGACTTGGAGCTCCCCGTTAGCCTGTTTCCACACTGCCCAATTCATGCTCAATTTGCTGTGCAAAAGCAGCTGCTCTGTTGCAGGAAGAATCCCCCTGGACATACACAGACCGACAGCACGGAGTTTGGCTGGAGCCAAAAGCAACACAAGACTACGTGCAGCAATGATTTGCCTGCCAGACATTTCATTGCTCAAACCACTCAGCAGGGACGTGGGCAGTTCATGTGTCGTCAACAGTCTTTATCCCATTCGATGTCAACTCATTAAACGCAAACGGAGCTGAGTTTTACTGCAACAGTGCATCACCTCCTGCATTCTACTGATCGCACAACCCTGACAGTATCCACTGGAGCCTGATATACATTAGGCTGATCCATCTCGCGGCTTCACACAGGCTAACGCTTTCACTTTTCAAACCACAACGATTTGGCTGTCTTGTGCCAACGTTTCTTTATTCTTCTTTTGGGTTTGCACAGTAGCTTTTAGCGCCTTGGGACGTCCTCCTGACGTGAAAGGCGCTTTACAAATGTAATTTTGTCATTGTTGTTTTACAAATGCTAAACTGCAACAAATCAGCCCCAAAATATTAAAGACGTAAAACCTTCCTCCGCTCATCCAGAACTCTGCAGCCCATATCCTCTCCCACACCAGGCTCCGTGACCCTATCACCCCCATCCTCGCCCAACTCCACTGGCTTCCCATCACACAGAGGATACAGTTCAAGATCCTGGTCCTCACCTTCAAAATCCTTCATGGCCTCGTCTGTATATTTTGCTAATTTGCACACAGCAATGCTCCACTCTGAGACTTCCTAACCCACTACCAACCTGCCCACTCCCTCCGCTCAGCGGGCTCCGACCTGCTTCACATCCCCCGCCTTGCCGGTCCCATCACTGGCGGGCAGGCCTTCAGCCACTCTGCCCCCACCCTCTGGAGCTTCATCTCGCAGTCCCTCCGACTCGCCCCCCTCCCTTGGCTACATCAAGACCTGTCTCAAGACCCTCCTCTTCGACCATGCCTCCGGTCACTCTTCTTCCCTTCCGGCCCCCCCATCCTGCCCGATCCCAATCCCCAGCTCGGGTCTGAAACACTGATTGTCCAGCGCCTTGGGTCAAAATATACAGCTCAGTGGGTAGCGTTCTCTCGCTCTTTCTCTCTCGCCTCTGAGTCCTCCCGACGTGAAAGGCGCTATACAAATGTAATTTTGTTGTTGTTGACGAACAGATATTTTCGGGGGGGGGGGAATTGCATGGATAAGCCTGTGAAACAAATGATGTCTTAGCAACCTCAAAGGGAATGGCTAAAAAGAAACCTCTCCAATGGGAGATATCTGCATAGGGAATACTGACAGCACATATTACTGTAATCATGGAGAAAAGAACAGAAAATGCCATCAACCCTTTTGTGTCTGCAGTAGGACATCTGCACAAAATTAAGTGGCAAACTGCAGTGGATGGTTTATTTTGGTAACAGATATGCCAGCTATTCTCCACATTTACCCCTTCAACAGGAAACCACAGGGAGGTGGTGCAGGAAAAAATAGTGCAAGTGCTTTCAAACAACAATAATAACAACTTGCATTTGTATAGCGCCCCTCATGCAGGGTCCCAGAGGGCTTGACAATGGCGGAGCATGATGTCGAGCCGGGGGGGGAGATGACCATAAGAGGAAGGTAGAAGAGGAAGAACTTCAGCGTGATCTGAACTTGGAGAATGAAAGGGGCGAGGCGGAGGGAATAGAGGAAGAGTGTTCCAGAGTTTTGGGGCGTAGAGGGCACGAGGGACAAGCAGGAGGATGGAGCCAGTTGAGTGGAGGCACCGGGTAGTGGGTTGGGGGGTAAACAGGTTGGAGAGGTAAGGAGGTGCCAGGGCATGAAGGGATTCGAAAACGAGTGTGACGTGCTTGCGTGTTCTCCAAATAGTTAAACCCCCAACACCAGGTTACATCAGAGAGAGCGACGCCTTGCACTCAGCTGCAGAGTCTGCACTCGGAGATAAAATTATTAAGGTCATCCTTACTTCTACCCCAGAGAGTAAAGCCAGCTCTCATTATGCACCGCAGCACCTTACACAAACCCAAAGGGACAGAGCAGGAAGCTAGACATTAAGCAAATAAGAGTCCAGCAGAATTATCCAACCATTGTCATTCACACCAATTTAGTAGATCCACTAAAATCATAAACACCGCCGAATGTTCACTCCATCAATATTCTATTTTGATCTCTGGTTGAGGAATTTGTGATAATGATGACTTCACCGACTCGGACCTGAGCAGGAAAAAAATCTCTTCACAACTGGATCTTATTTTCTCCTCATTTCGGCAAAGTGTCACTTGATTTAATGCAACGGCCACTTCCTGTTGTGTTATCAACGTTGACAGACACACACACACACACACAGATTCCCCAAATTTAGACCTCTGTTTCAAATGGCAAAAGCAATTATAATCTCTGGCTAACACAGTCCCTGCGGCTAAACACTAAACAGTGGGGGCCCTTCACCACAAAGGTTAAATCACTGCTGAAGCATTTGATTACGAGCTGCCCCCAGTGAGTGACACAGACAGCTTCTCTGCAGCTTGTGCCAACGCAGTTTCACTTTTAAGCTGAATTCTCTTTAAAACCGAGGCCATCCTCAGACACCGAGAGTGGTTTTGTGACGGCACTAAATTACTCTCCTTGAAAAAAATTCAGAGATTAAAAAGCATCAATAACTTCTGCTTTCACTGTCTTCCCATTGTCTGCTATTCTCCTGATCTTTAACAGTTTGAGGTTGCACTATTTCTAAACAGTCTCCACTTCCTACTGTTTATAGGGTTATTTAAGCAATAATAGTCCTTTTGTTTGATATCCCGCCTTCTCACGTAGTCACGGCATCTCAAAGCGCTTCACAGGATTTCACTGTAAAGTATAGTGACTGTATATTTTGCAGGCAAACCCAGTAGCTAATTTGCACACAGGAATGCTCCACAAACAGCCATGAACAACAAGTTGCATTTATATAGCACCCCTCAAGCAGGGTAGAATCCCAGACACCTTGAAATGATTTTATGATTTTATGGTGGGGGGGGGAGGGAATGCAATGTTTCTGTGGTTCAATCTCCTTTCATAGCACAGGAGGAGGACAGGCAGCTTGATTTGGCCTGGTTGCCAGTGGAGCTAACTATCGTCACCCCGATGTGAAAGGCGCTATGAAATGTAATTATGTTGTTGTTGTTGTCGTCATCCCATTTGATATCTTTATCCTCTCATGTACTCTGTGAGCTGGCACCACAAAGCTAAGTGTCAAATTGCCTGAAAGAATGATGTTGAGAGGGCCACACCCTGGAACACTGCACACCCCTGCACTTACAAAAACAAGGTCAAGCTTGGAGACCTCTTTGCCAATGCTGAAGGGTCCAAATATTTTATACACCCTCTATGACCTCAGGAGTACTTGTTGCCAAAACAAATCAGGAGAACAGTAAGAGTTAACATAAAAGAGTTGAGTAAGAGTCCATACTCTCTTTTAATACAGCATCTGAGATCCCAAAGAACAGAGATGCAACAACCTGGCCATGTACTAGTCACTGTATCCTCACAGCCCCTTCATTCATTAGAGCAACTTTATTGTTCTGAGGCCTTTAATTATTTGCGAACGTAACTTGCAGTCAGTCATATGGAAAAGACCTGAATTGTGTTGCTCTCAATTTTTTCCCGATAAAAAAAAGGGCTTTGTTTCTTCTTGTTCTAGATGCCACCAGAGGCCAGGACATCACATCATCATGTCTCCAATCCAACATTATATCTCATTATAGAGTAAAAAGCAGAAAGGCTCACCTGATAGCTCTCCAGATTACACCAAGGACAGACACTGCATTAAATAGTATCTCGTAGTAACAACATACTCCTTACCCCATTGCTGGGCCAGGAGAACCTTAAACGTTTCCACTCCCAACCTGGCTTTTCATTCATTTCCCACCACTCACATTCATACTTCTGTTTAATGTGGTTGTTCTTTACCTGCTGTACGAATGTAAAATGAAGAAAAATCCACAGCTGAGGTTAGTCACCCTGTTCTCCTCATCCTTCTGATGTCTAACAGGGAGACAAGCGAGACTTAATGTATTCCCAAAAGGGTTACTGGGAATCAATAGAGTTGGCACAAGATTCTGAGGCACTTGACTGTCTCCTAGGAACTAAGTCCCAAAGCATGAAGCCTGCAGCTCAATCAAAGAGCGAAGAGGATGAGCCACTGCCAGCATTGTGTGGACATGAACAGCTCCTTATGAAGGACGCTGGTCAAAGGAAAGGAAGGTGTCTGTAAATGAATGAAATGATGATGAATTGCTTCAGACGATGTGTACCAGCTCTTGCGCTCCCATCAGATGAGGAAAAAAGTGAAAGGCGTCAAGTACAGAAACAAAGAGTTCACCTGATAATAAAAATAATAGTAGCTTTTGATGAAGTGTCTATAACATCCGCATTGTCTCAAAGCGCTTCAGAAAGTTTCTGTAAGGTGTAGGGATTGTATATCTGTATGTGAACCCAACAGCCAATTCGCACACATGACAACATCCCACAAACAGCCAGGCAGTGAATAACCAATTTCATCTGGAGAATTATTGGCCAGGACACAGGGAGAAACTCCCTTCTCTTTTCAAATGGTGTCACGGGATCTTTACTGTCCATGTGAACAGACAAAGACAGGATCTGGGATTAATAATAAAAAACAGTGCTATGGTGATGCTTTTCAAATGCTGAAATGTTGGATCTAAAATGGGTTTATGTGAGTCCAATAAAACAGCTCTTAGGCCAGATTTACCAAGTCAGCAAAGTCTATTTGGTTTGTCGGAAGGCTCAAGTTTTCCAATAGAATATTTCCAAATTAACCCAAAGCAGGTTTCCTCTCTCTCCTATACACTCTTCTCTCCCCCGCCAAGCACCATACATACACAGAAACCCTCACCCTCTTCTCTCCCCCACAGACACACACACATAATATATATATATACATCTCCAACGCGCCCACAGACACGCCCATCTCGCCGAGCTCTCTTCTGGGACAGCGCAAGGTCGTTGGTTTTTGTAGGAAAGCTGCCAGACATGCTAACATTCCTGAGTGCCTCCTGCACTGCTGCTAATGTGTTTCAGCAGTCCGCAGTGATCACTTTAGGATGCTCTCCTGCAGAGCCCTCCTTACACCACGGAGCACTCTGACATCTCCCATGTGTGTGCTCTCTGATCAGCTTACTCCCTACCAACCTGCCCGCTCCCTCCGTTCAGCGGGCTCCGGCCTGCTCCATGTCTCCCGCCCGACCCGCCCTACCATCAGTGGCCGGGCTTTCAGCCTCTCTGCCCCCACACTCTGGAACTCCATCCCATGCTCCCTTCGCCTCGTTTCCTCCCTCGCCTCCTTCAAGGCCGGTCTCAAGCCCCTCCTCTTCGATCGTGCCTTCAGTCGCCCTCCCACCTCTTTGCCTTCAACCCTCCCCCATGCTCGGGTCCTGATCACTAACTGTCCACTGCCTTGGGACGTCCTCCCGACGTGAAAGGCGCTCTATAGATGTAATATTGTTGTTGTTTGTTGGTGCGTGGCATACGAACGCTTAGAGGTTCCTTTACTTTGGTTGTAACACGTGTGTCAGCATTCCAGAGCAGCCACGGCTCAATACAGGCAGCTCTCTTCTCCCAAGTTACAAAGACATAGAAAAATTATTCAACAACAACAAGTTGCATTTGCACAGCGCCTTGCACGTTGGGAGGATGGGCCAAAGCACTGGACACCGAAGGGTTTGCAACTGAGCTGGGGTTTGGAATCAAGAGGGATGGAGGGCAAGGGTGGAAGGTGCGGTCAAAGAGAAGGTCTTGAGGCCTTCCTTTGATGGAGACAAGGGAAGGGGGCAAGGCGGAGGGATTCCAGGATGGAGTTTCAGAGGGTGGGGCAGAGAGGCTGAAGGCCTTGGACATGGCGCAGGCCAGTGCCGACGAGCGGAGGGAGGGGACAGGTTGCTATGGTTTCAGTAGGTCACGGATGCGGAAGGAAGGGGGCAATACAGAGGTTTAGATGAAGAGTGTTCCGGAGAACCCAACAATTATTCTGCATTTTTCATGTATTTATCTTAATTCTGCTTTTCTCTAAAATCATTTGCAGAAGTGAGCAAAATCCCATCAGCGTACAGATGCACGGAGCTGGGCCGGGAGGCAAGACTACATTGACCACATGAGGGAAGGCCATCTGCCAAGTGGCTGCTTCTGCTGCCACCTGGAGGCAGAGGAAGTCTGTGGCGAGGAAGCACTTGCGAAAGGTAATGGAACCACCACCATCATCTGGCGGGGAGAGCTCATTACATTGCCTCAAAGCGGAGCAAGTGCGTTGCTATGTTCGTCGCAGCTCCCTGTTATCCCCTCCTCCTCTCCCCACCCTGAAATGCGACACCTCCCCCCAGTTTGATCATCCTGTTTCTAACTCCCCTCGAAGTGGCTCAGGGCGCACCAACTCCTAGCCTCCATTTCCACAGCCTCCGACAAGCCCAACCATGTTAGAATCACAGAAACATTCAGTGCAGAAAGCAACCCTTCTGCCACACTCACTCCTCCACTGGAGCTCTCAGCTATAATGCCATTTCCCCCATCAATGTTCTTATAATATATTTCTTTTCAGGTCGCTTAACAGAAGCTCATGACATCTCCACCCCCACCCCCTGCGCAACAACCAAGTCCAATGGCTCACACGAGGAGCAACACTAACAGGCTGTTGTTCTCACAATCACGTGCCCTGGAGAAAGGAGGTAGTAACTAAGACACAAGAGTAATTTGATAGTAAACCACAACCATCTCCAGATCACAACCAATTCACAGCCTTTGCCTCTCTCTGGCTTTACACATTGCAGTTTTACAGCAGTTATCACATGGCATCATCACAGCACACGATCTGGCACGTGAAGCCTGACACGAGATGACGGTGCGCACATTGCTGCCGCTTACCTGAATGCTGCCGAAGTCTACATTCTCATAGTGGAAATGAGCGCATTCAGCCAGTTTGGGGAAGTGGCCTTTGGTGAATGTTAACCTGCAACATTGAGAGGACGACATGAGCATTAATTAATGCGTCACCACTTCACTCAGAGACCTGCATTTCACTGGTACTCGATCACTGTAAACATCTAACGCCCAAACTGCAGCTCCTGACTACAAATAGTTCCACATCCAATCCAGAGGACTTGACTTATCACTGAGGCTATTGCTTCACTGGAATTACTGACGGTTTCAATGATTCCAAACAGGCGGATAAATAAGCTTCTTGTAATAAAGGTTCAATATGTCTTTTTATCAATGGACAGAAAGGGAGGGAATAGCCAGCGTCTCGCTGTAGAAGAGCATCCGTCTGCTTTGCCTGTGTGCATTACCAGCACTGGTCGCAGTGCCTTCACACGGGATAGCAGCTCGGAGCACTGTACACTGGCAGGTTGGACACTGAGTGAACAAGAGGGGGCGGTGATCGTAGGTGCGGTGAAAGAGCTCAGTCTCCAGGGATTGCAGAGGTCGGAGGTGTTGTGACTGAAGGCACAGCCACTGATGGGGGCACGGAGGGAGCGGGAGACTTGCAGCTGACATGGGTCCATTGAGCGAAGGGGGCGGGCAGTGGAGGAACATTCCAGTGAGGAAATTACCAGTAAGGAAATTACCAACTCGTTCTTGGAGACTCAAAGAGCACCACACAACACAACAGATTGTTGCTCTGCATCTGACATTCTTCTCAGACACTCCTGCTGTGGCTGCAATTAACACAGGCATCAATGCTGTTACACGCTCAGCTGAATATAATAATTTGATATAGTGCCGTATCACGTCATTGAGACGTCTCAAAGCGCTTCACGGGATATGTTGTAAAGTGGAGCGACTATATATTTTGTGGGTGAAATCTACCCCAAGTGCACCAAAGCTCAGTTCTCCCGATCCTCGTGAAATGCTGCACTCAGAGCAGACGCTCGGTTTGTGTGAAAGCCAATCCTTGAGTTAAACCTGTGGCTATTATTAACCTTGTTATAAAAGACAACTGACGCATCTACTGGGCAAGAGGTGACATTTATAATCACGCTGACATTATAATGCTCCAATTAATGTACAGCAGTGACACAGTGCCTGTGTGGGCCCATGTACACACGGTGCAGAGGACATTGGGAAACCGGCAAAGTTACAAAGAAAATGTGGTCACAAAGGAAGAGTGAGATCTGCTCTTCCTGCCTCAGGGTTTAACTCTCGGTCAGGACTTTGTGTCTATCCTGAGTCAACTTTTCTAATGGTATTCTAATTAACATCTTTGCTGGGATTAAATTCCCTGGGTTGGTGTCGCAATCACTGTTAAACACGGAAAAGTGAATAGAACTTTAGTCATATTCCCCTCCTCCTATACTCCCACACCACCAGTTCAGGCTCCCAGTGGCTCCTTGAAGAAAATTGAGATGTGAAAGGCCTGATATAAATGTGACATTTTAGTGATTTTTTTTTAAAAAAGGAAGTATATCCAAACATTAAAGTTCATTCACACAATACAAGTTACCGTGGATGTGATTGTTCAGGCGTGAACGAGCAATGATGCTATCAGCAGTGGGTCAAAAATGTTTCAAGAATTTGATGGTATTTATGAGGAACAGAAAGATTTACTCTCACTTCTCATTCTCAAATCCCGACGGGAAACCAGGATTCATTAACCCACCTCAGCAGAGCATTAGTCGATCCAATCTACAAGTAGATTTATCTGTTGTGAGGAAACACTTCCATTGTTTTGTTCCTACTCAATCAAATAAATCCACCTTTTTGTTCCTCAACAATTTTCCTGGGATGGAATGGCCTGTGCAGCAATACAGATGGTGTCAGCACACATCAAGAGGGAATTAGGTGAGGCAGGGTGATTTATTACTCTATCCTTGTGCTTTGGAAATGACCAGATGGGCTGGAATAGCCTTCTCCAGCCGTGTATGTTGGGGTCTCACTCTCTCCTGAAGCATTTGACTTCTTTATTCCTCTAAAGGGAATAGTTCCACAGACGCCAGACACCCTCGCCCAAGAGCTGAGTCATACCTAAAGCTGGACAGTGAATATTGGTACGAATATAACTGCAGGAGCATCGGAGCTGAGCCCAAGCCTTTCCTTGTCCCGACACCCACACACGCATACCCTCCAAAGGGACAGCAGACAGCAGATGAAACGGAGAACCCAGCAGATGAGATCGAGAACCCTTGCTACCCCAGGGCTACTGAGGCTAACTGTAGCTCTGGGTAATATCAGCTAACTCAGAGCAGACAAGTGATACAAACCTTCAACTTTCTGGTCTGTACAGCCTCATTCACCACCATATAATGGCTCTATCCACTTACTTTTACCCATAACGAAGTATAACATCCTGTAGTGTTTGTCTTCTGGGCATTACGCAAGTCACAAAGCCATCTACGGAATGTACTTGGGACACAAAAATTTTCACTTGTAATATCCCACACAAGACTTTTGAGGGATCAAAAGTTGAAACACGCACATGACACCAGTGATTTGGTTGAATGTTGGAACATAATAAAAGGCCTGTTGTGAAACACCAATGCACCACAGGGAACGATCGTCACAGCATCAGCAGCTGCTTGTAGAGCTGGAGAGAACGCAAACTGCAAGGAGCAACCATCTGACTCGCCGGCCTTTCACAAGCTCAGCAATGAGCAGAGACTTACTTACTTTTTGACGTTCTTTACTTTCATGCTGGCTGTGCTGCCACAGGAGCGGAGAGGAAGGTCAGTGGGCAGGTCCGGGACCTCAGCGCTCCTCGCCTGCAAAACACAAACACTATCAACACTCAGGAGGGAACACACCGAGCTGCAGTCGTCCACTCAGATAGTCCTGCAGATTTGCCAAAGGCCAACACAGAACTGGAGAAGGTGATACTGTATGCCCTGCCTGCCAGCATTGTATCCTGGAGGAGTCAGTCCAGGGGCATTCAGAAAAATTACATTACACGCAACAAATATACAGTCAATTCACTTTACTGTATACTCTGTGAAGATGTGATAAGGCGCTCTATTGAATGCAAGGATTATTATTATTATTTAAAAAAATTCCAACATCAACAACAACAACAACAACAAGATTCCATTTATAAAGCGCCTTTCACGTCAGGAGGACGTCCCAAGGACGTCCCAAGTCCCAACATCATGTGCACTTTGTGAACTTATAGTCCTTTATGCTCACAGTTCTCTCAACTCTGTTACCTTCCACTCAACACAACAAACCACTTAGTGGAGTCGGAGTTCTGACATTACCCTTGGGAAACTTGGGGGATAAAATGTTTTGTGAGCACTAGCCAATCCCTGGAAGTTTATTTGTTCAATTTAAATATCTTGAATTGATTCTGCATGGACGGCCTTAACTGGGGTAGAGCTTTCCACAATGCCTACGTGGAATTTCAGTTAAAACAGGTAGCTCATAAAGTGTTCGAATGGGACGATTCTTCCCGGGACTTCAAGATGATGGAATTAGAGTATGACTGAATAATGCAGGTCTTTCAAGCAAATGAAAACATTGGCGGATTCACTGACCTTGAACATTGAAGCACTAGTTATCCGAGTTGTGCAACTCTGCCGGTAAACTCGGGCTAGTGCCAGTTTAGCAGCTCTACGCAGTGAGTACTTTCTTTTTATACAAGAAAATAAAGCCACAAGATGGCAGCATTTAACAATAAACACACTGAACTTGCAGGTAAAGGACACGTCAAGATTATAACTGGTCTTGGAAAATGATGCCAAGCTGCAGTGCTACAAAGAAAAAGCTCGCAGCGAGTTCCTGGTACCTGCCATCCCCAGCTCGTGAGGAGTCAACCTGCACCTGTGGGATGTCAAATAACCAACTAGTCAATATTGTCCGGGGGGGAGAGTGGAGAAAAGTGAGGTAAGGGGCGATCTGACTGGCTCCAAGGTGACACGATTGGCAAAGGAATATCTGAATCGAGCCAACTTTCTGTGTCGGACACTCGTCTTCTAGTCAGAGGTTTCATTCCTCTACGGGCAGTGAGTCACCTTCCTGCTACACCGATGTTTGGGGAACAAGTTCACAGCAGAACTCCTCCTTCCCGCTGGGCTCTGTCCGTTCCCCTCCTACCCCCGCGTCACCCCCCCCCCACACACACACACACAGGCTCTGATATCCTGCTCTGTGCAGAAAGGCCACTGGATTGTTATGCAAATCTGTGTGAACACAGCATCCAGGAGAAAAACTGATGTCAGATTTGCTCACATTTACATATGAATGCAGCCGCACTTTTGAACAAAGCTGAGAACCATCGTTGAAGCCCCCCCTCTTTGCACACACACACGCAGCCATATCCACTCCTATCCTGTCTTTACCTCTTCGCACAGCATTTCCACCGTCTCCCCTCTCAGCTCTGTCCTTTTCCTCAGGTTCAATCACAGTGGGTCTAACCATCTCTTTCTCTCCCCCTATTGTTCTCTGTTCAGCCTGGCGTCCCCCTTCCCCGCCCCCCCGCCCCAACCCAGGCAGCACAGCGCTCCCTCCCCCCCACGTTGCTGCTCAGTCACATTACCAAAAATATTCGTCAACTTCTAAATGAGTGAACACTGAGCGCTGACCCAAATACTGCTCCCCTCTTACCCAATTTACACAGTCTGTCTCCAGTCTAGCGACAACTGGTCATGTCCCATAAAGCTTGCAATTCAATGATTAAGACTCAGCAGTCCTGCTGTTAGTGACACATTAAAATACACAAGGATAGGTGTGTGCGTTCCTCTGAAACAATTTACTGTTCAGCTTTGTCCTGTTCCCGCGTCCGCCCTCTGAAATACAAAGCACAGGGCAGCCTGCACCAATCGCAATGTGTTAGCTACGTGACAGCGTCAAGGCCGCATCACGGAGTCACCCCATCATCACATGCTGTAAGCTCCACACATTGAGGTTACTGTAATGTAAATTATGGAGCGTCCTTGGCCACCACAATGCTGGCCTGCTGCTCCCATTTCAGCATTGTAATTCCTTCACAATATACGCTCATTAAGATTTGGGAAGAAAATCGTTGCTCTGAGCTCATGAATTCTTACTGGAGTATTGATGTCTCCATGCCAACCATCTGTCCACCATCTCCCTGTGACCTGCATTTACACACACACACACACACACCACCTCTACAAATCTGAAAAAAATGGTGAAATAATAATACAGTATAGTCAGACGGGACCTGTTTAAAGTCTCATCCGAAGGACGGCACGTCCGACAATGCAACACACCTCCAGCGTTGCATTGGAGCTGAGACTATGAGATTCCAAGCCCCTGAAATCCATTTCAGTGAAGAGTGCTTTGCAGATAAAGAGACGCTTGTGTAACACAGAACGTGCACTGAGGATGAATAGTCATACCTCCTTAACAAGGCAACAGCCAGCCCGCTCACCATTGTGTGTTCCCGCTTAGTTCCCCTCCTCTCCCCCTCCTCCACCCCAACGTGACGAGCCACAGTGAACAAGAGTCCATGGGGAGGAGGTGGCAGCAACACACTGAAAGGTAAATAGCAACAGAGAGGCCGAGAGCAAACAATGTGCCTCACAAAAGTCCAATCGCGCACGCGAGAGAGAGATATTCTCCACAAGTCACAAGTATGCCATGAAGCTATGTTGGTCACAAGGAAAAAATTCTGAAATTCCAACCTGTTTACTCCACACTCGCAAAACACCGTCAGAACTGGAAAGGGAACCATGTGGCAGCTCTTTAATGAAATAACTTCAACGATCAATTCACATCCCACTTTATATCACCCCAGGCGAGAAAAGGCAGGAGGGAGAACATACAACAACAACTTGGGTTTATACAGAGCCCACCACGCGGGGTAAGGTCTCGGGCGCTTAACGGTGACGGAGCCTGACGCCGAGGAAAAGCTTTTTAAGAAAATGTTACGTTGGGTGGTAACTGTAAAGGTCGGAACGCCTTCGTATTCAAGAAAATGGAATCATCACGGTCCAGAGAAACAGAAAATTCAATCAGTTGGGCTGCGGCTCTTTATCTGTCATCATCTCTTGTTCCGTACTAAGCTGTGAGCTTCTGCAGCTTGAGATGCTTATTGCTTACTCAAGTCCTCTTCTTTCCCCTCCCCTAAATAACAATAATAATACTTGCATTTGATATAGCGCCTTGTCACATCGCTGAGACGTCTCAAAGCTCTTCATAGAATATACTGTAAGGTGAATTGACTGTGGATTTTGTGGGCGAAACACAGCAGACAATCGTGCACAAAAACATCTAAATGTTTCACTGGCAAATATGTTTAACTCCAGGGGTAACAGAGTGGAATAGTTATTTAGAATAGTGTGATGTGAAATCAGACAGGGAGACAGATTTCACCTCGCTCTCGATTTGTCTGTGGCTGTCAGGGTTCCGAGTCCAATTCCAGTTTGGGCAGCCTCAACTGAATTCCTATTGCCGAAGAGTCACATCACCCATCCACCTGTAAAGTGTCACTAATTGGCTGTCACAGTTGACAAATGATTGTATGCAAAGCATTTCTGTCCTCACGTGAAATTGATCTGCATCAGTTTCCAGCAGGCAGACAGCTCCCCCACCCCGTACACTGGCTGCTCCTCAATGTTCCCGTTCTTCAATCATTTGAATGTGAATCGGTTGCTAACATTCACAGGAGATTGTTTGCCCGTCTTTGTGTTTGCGGCAAAAATATTCCTTCAGCTTTTTTCACTGCCAATGTCAATGCCGGATCAGCGCCCAGAGTGAACTGAGAACAGCGAGGTGTGGAGGAAAGTATACACATTTATATAATATTGTTAATAATAATAATCCTGGCGCACAGAGGTGTCCCACAAACAGTCGTGGATTGAATAACCAATTTATTATTTATTTATTTACTTTTGAAGGAATGATTTCCCCTGGAAAACGATCTAATCGACTATCAACCGGGTTCCTACTTACCGCTAGGTAAGCAGAGGCGTGTGGAGTAAGGAAACTTGCCCAACACTTCGCCCAGCCGGGAACTGAACCCAGGTTTCTCGCTTGAGAAACTCTAACCACTAAGCTACAGGACTCCTCATGTCACAGAACTACACCCAAACCAGAATGACTGCATTTTGCAGAGTCAAGAACGGAGCTTTCCTTTCACAAGCGAGGAGTGAAATCACAAGGGCAACAAAAGCACTGATAAAAGCACTGATAAACGTTGCATTTGATATCGCGCCTTTCACATCAGGAAAACGTCTCAAAGCACTTCACAGCAGTTACCTTAAAGTGCAATAACTGTGTGTGTTTGGTGGGATGTTTCAAAGCGCTTCACAGAATATACTGTGGAGTGAATTGACTGTATATTTTGTGGGTGAAACACGGCAGCCAATTTCCCACAGCAGTCTCCCACAAACAGTCGTGGATTGAGTGACCAAATTATTTTTTTTATATATAAGGGATTATCACCCCTGGAAAAGCGATCCGCCATTTGACTCACAATCGGGTTCCTCCTTACTGCTGGGTCAACAGAGGCTTGTGGAGTAAGGAAACAATAATAGTTGCTGTGATACTGGACAATATGCACAGCTGTAGATTCAATATTACCAATTAAACTCGTGAGTGCATATTTTATCAAGTATTACTGATAAAATATGACAGACTGGATTTGCAGCAGGTTTTTCACCTTGCATTAATGAAATGAAATTTGAAAGGTGGCAAATTATGCAGCTTATTCAGAGTTCAGTGTGATCCAAAAGGATGTCAGGTGTCATGACAATTATTGGCCGTGGGTTAGTTGAAAACGCACTAAAGCAAATGGAGTTGGACGTCTCGACTCATCTAAAAGAACTCTGCAAGAACATGGGTTACCATAGCACTGATCGTCTCTTCCCAGTCCAGACGGTCGCGAGGAGGGAGAGTCAGCAACAACTCGGAAACATAGTCGTTGTCTTCTGGCTGTGTGGAGTCTTTCTGCAGCCTGCAACACGGAGAAAGCGAGAGAGAGAGAGAGAGAGAGAGAATCAGCACAGGAAATCGTCTAAATGGACAACACAGTAAAAGTCCCAGAGACTAACTGGATTACAAGGGACCATGACATTTAATATCCCAGATACAACTCACAACCTGACACTCAGATCCAGAAATCCACAAGACTTTCATGAACGTGTGTGAAGTTTGACCTGGTTATTATCACAGTCCTTTTGTGACATTAGTTGATATTGTACCAGCAGGTTTACAGTCAATGAAAATGTGGTGGTGGAAAGAACAAGTAAAGCGCTGGTCTTAGAAAACAGGAAGAATATAACGATGGGAAGAGATCGAAGAGGGGGGAAGAGAACAGATGTGGAGGTCATTGGGAGGGGAGAGGAAGCAAAGGAGAATGGTGTGGAGCAGAGGCATTCAGTCCGTTTTGTCAGTGGTAACCAAGAGAGGAGAAACATGCACCTTTTTCAGAGGAGGGAAGACAGAGCAGTGCAGCTTGTCTCAGTAAAAGAAGAAATAAACACGTTTTTGGAGGGTGGGAAGGTGGAAAGAGTAATGACTGCTAATCTAGTAGGAAGGGAAGAGAAAAGGCATCAATCTTGGGAAAGAAAATAATAATAATCCTTGCACTTGATACAGCACCTTATCATCTAAAAAGTGCTTCACTGAATATATTGCAAAATGCGGCAGCCAATTGCACACAGCAGTGTCCCACAGACAGAGGGGAAGTGATCCGTCAATTGACTAACAACCGGGTTCCTACGGACGGCTCGGAAACAAGGTAAGGGCCAGTTTGGGGGATTGGGAAAATTATTTGCACTGTTGAAAACGGCACTAATAGATGCACAGCACTAATTCAGAACTAATCATTTGAAATAGCTCGTCATGGGAACGTGAGGTGGGATTTGGGAATCCATAAACACAACAGTAAACTCAAGCCTTTCCCAGTGAATGCAAATCCAGGTCACAAAACTGGATTGGCTTTTCAGCCACTTAACTCCAAAACTGGGATCGTCTCTCTTAATAAAACACTTTGCATATTAAAACCTTCAGGTTGATTTGCCTCAGAATTGCAATTCAAGCGAGAGACAGACAAATGAATTCAGCTCAGGGATACTACACTGCAAAGCACATCTACTGTACAATGCAAATGAGATAGAAGAAAGAAACATTTTTCCTAAAGAAACGCTTAAAGAACACATTGGAAAAATGCTTCACCTCTGAATTCTGTGCGAAATGATGCTGAAATTTTAATAACAGCCTTTAGGCATTAATTAGCTGACTCTCTCAGTGTGCAGTGTAGCCTGGTTATGACAGGTTATTCTGTGCTCTGCTGTTGGGAAGTTTTTCGTACAGGCTGACCCCACAATAAGACACTCTACAATTTCTCACAAAGCAATTAACAGAAATTACTCTCTTTCTCGATTACATGGGCCAGTGTTAGAGATGATGAGCACAAGATGAATGCAGCTGGGAGAAGGATGCATCCCACACCAACTTCATTCTAAATTATAGCATTCTTGCTGTTCGCACAGACACTTACACAACAAATCTTACTCACGTGTGCACCAAAGAATTGCTATTGCTCACGTTATTATTCGACGCGTGATGAATCAGAAGGTTTTATATGTTCCCCTTTGGTTCAACACTTTGAATCACACCAGTCCTTGGCAGGCTTCACTGGCTCTCAATCACTGAACGGATCGATTTCATAACATAACATAACATGTAGGAGCAGGAGGAGGCCATTCGGCCCTTCAAGCCTGCCCCGCCATTCAATCATGGCTGATCTTCTAATCTAACTCCAGCTCATAACCTGACCCCCTGCCTTATCCCCATATCCCCCCCCAACCCCCTGCCTTATCCCCATATCCCCCCCCAACCCCCTGCCTTATCCCCATATCCCCCCCCCAACCCCCAGCCTTATCCCCATTTTAAGGTTGTGACCCCTTGTTTTAGTTTCTCCAAACGGAAAAAAATCTCCCACTATCTACTCTATCATTGCCCTTTGATCTTATGGGTTTCTATAAGATCCCCTCTAATTCTTCTATATTCTAGAGGATATAGGCCCAAATTGGTCAGCCTATCCTCGTAACTCTTCCCTTCATCCCTGGTACTAACTGAGTAAATCTACGCTGCACCCCCTCCAAGGCATTTCAAGATCCTCTCACTCGTTTTCAAATCATTTCATATTCTTGCACCTGCCTACCTATCTGACCTGCTTACCACCCTCACTCCACCACCCGCTGTCTCCAAAACATTTCTTCAGACAAGAGAGCTGTGAGAAGGTGGAATACACTGCCAGGAAGCCAGAGATACAGAAATAATTGGGATGTTTAAAAGAGACAGATAGAAAGATACTTGGGAATTATGAATATTTAGGGATAAGACAGGGAAATGGTATTAAGAGGTATGTGACCATCTAATAAACTGGTGGAACAGATTCAATTGGCTGAATGTTTCTGCATTATTAAATGCTGGTGCAGCGTAATTGTCTTCACACAACTCAAATCCATCTAAAAGGAAAACACATGGAACTTTCAACCCTTCCTGTAGTGTATACCTACCAGAACAGTGCATACAAACTGTGCCACAACAAGAGCGGGAGGCATAATTCACTCAATCAAATCACACCAGCTCCTTTTCCGCTGTTTAGCGAAATCTAATCAGATAATTTCACGCAAGTCAATTTGCAGACACATCCAACAGCCCAGAAAACAACACACAGTTGGCATAAAGCAACTCACAGTTTTCTTGCAAAGAGCTCCTACTGACCAACAGTTGTACCATAACAACCAGAAAAGAAACATACTGAGGCATTGGAAATCAAAAAGCATGTGAATGAGGTGATGGGAAGCCAACAGATTCAATCTCAGGATTGTGCCGCGTTAACTCTGTATTGACTGTGTATTCTGTGGGCAAGAGTTAATAAAAACACCTCTAATAAACAAAATTGGTCACTTCAGTCCATGACTGTTTGTGGGACACTGCTGTGCACAATTGGTTGTGGCATTTCGCCTACAAATATAGTCAATTCACATTACAGTATATTACGCGAAGCGTTTGAGACGTCTGGAAGACATGAAAAGCGCTACATCAAACACAAGGATTATTATTATTATTAACTGATCCAAAGCTTTGTCCACATTGCGTACAGAAATCAACTAACACACATCTAAGCTGCCCAGAACATGATTTCTTTGCATTGCACCAATGAAAGTAGTGCCTTCTCACACACCACAATCCACAAACATTAAAAATGTCTTAGAAACAGTAACAGTTCAGTTTCCTCGTGTCCTTGTGTCCCTTCCACCGTGGCATCCTGAATAAGGGAGCACTGGAAAACACAAGCAAAAGGTGCTTCCTCCAGCTTTGCTCATCCTTGATCCTTGCTCATTCTTTTCCAGTTATTGGTGAGTTTGGGGATTTCTTGCCTGTGAGAATGAATCAGCGACACACTGTACAACACTGGCAGCTCCACACAACACAAGCCTCATGTCCTTCCTGGATCAGCCATCACTTCATTACAGAAAAGATGTAATGAATCAAAACATAGATGAGTCAACTCCATTTGAGAGAACAGTTTACTTCCTGTCTATGTGAAGAGCTTTTACTGCTAACACTGCCCCCACACCAGCTATAATAATAATAATCCTTGCATTTGATATAGTCCCTTATCATATCTTCGAGATGTTTCAAAGCGCTTCACAGAATATACTGTGAAGTGAGTTGATCTGGGAATCGAACCCGGGTCCTCTCGCTCGCAAGGCGAGTCCTCTAACCAATACGCTACAGAATTCCGGCCTAAATATACAAGACAGTATTCAACAAGTTAATCTTAAATAATAGAAAGAAAATTAAAATAGAAAAAAGAAAATAAGGCAAAACATCTTTTAAAAAGTTCTAATTTTGTGTGATTAATATGAAAAGTAATAATCCTTGCATTTGATACTGTGTCTGAAATGTCAAAATATCTCAAATAATTCACAAGTAAGTGTAGTGACTGTTTTAACAACTTGATTGATATAGCGCCCTTCACTTGGGGTCGCATCTCACATAAATGCAGCAGACAATTTGCACACAACGAGGTCTCACAAACAGCCGTGAAGCGCTTGACCAATTTACTCACAGCATTGTTGGCCAGGACACCAGGAGAAACTTCTTTCTCTTTTCAAATAGTGCTATAGGATCTTTAACAACCTGAACAAGATGGGGCCTCGGGTTAATGGCACATTTGAAGGACAGCACCGGCAACACTATAAACTTCGCCTCAGAACTGAAGCGCGGAGCCACAAGTTGCTGATCCAGCAAATGCTACCAGCTAAAGCTGCCACAGAGTATGAACAGGAGCTCTGTGTGCGTGCGGTGGTGGAACTACTTTGAAAGAATGAGCAAGAGACCACACATACAGTGGGAAATCCAATATTCTTTCTCATTGACAATCCCCACATACAACTAGGATTATACAGCAACACGGAAACCAGCAGTGGGGCTCCAAAGGTTGAAATATTTAGACCCCAGCTGGAGGCACAGCCAAACTACACTATCAGAAACCGATTCTTACACACGTGCTAGTCAGGCCAGGTAGTTCGCTTACACAGCATCAAAGACACTCCACCACACACTGGGCCAGGATTTAACTACAAACCAACGAGAATAAGCTCTAACCTTCCCCCTACCTCCTGTGCTGCCAGGAAACAAAGAGTGGATCCGTTCTATTGCTCCATTGACTAACCTCGCTTCAGGGATTGCTTGACTGAATGTTTTGTTCTGGTCGGAACAGAAAGTTGCCTTGTTCGTCAAATTCTATTAATTCCAAAGTAGAAAGCAAAGTCCCGGGAACATAAAGTGATACTTCCTTTCATTGGAAGAAACATGAGGCGGCGAATAAAGCTTCACCCTTGATTTCCTGACGTGTGAGACTCCAACAATTCTGCTGCCTTACACTGTTCTGTCAACATGACGCACTGAAACCCACAATGCTAACCCTCTGTACCAAACAAGGGCTTGAAAAGTTTTGAAAATCCTAAAATGACAAACTTCCATTAGTTGATGCGTTTTCTTAGAATTAAGTTTAAGCCGATGTGGGAATGAACTGAACGGGTGAATAGCCTGAATTTGCTACTAAGGGTTCAGTAAATATAGGTGCCACTCGAACTCTCAACAAGTAACAGGAAAGGTTTCACAGTAATTACAGGGGCACCTTGAACCCCATAGAATTAGCTACACTCAGCCATGTCACTGGGAAACCTTGATCTTCTTTAGAAATGCTTTAGCATAGGGTGAATGACATCCCGTTGAGTCAGGATGGTCCTCTCAAGAGAGACACCATTCACCGAAGATCAGTTAATGGCATTGCCGAGGCAGTTACCAATATTTCATATGGATTCTCTGAAAAACAGGATAGCCAGACTTGCTCAGCTTGATATGCAAAGAACTGAGTCAAGTCTACATTGAGTTAAGGTGTAGCCACAAACCAGATGTTTCCTCAAGACCAACGTTTAATAAATCATCACCTCTTAGTTAATCCCAATCAAAAGCCTAAGGTACAAGTAAGAAACAAGTACGATTGCGGGGAAATGGTCACGATTGCTGAAAGCTCCCGGGCAGCAATTATGGTAGTCAATGTATCTAGTGATATTTAATAACCAGAGTAACTCCACTGCTGTTATCTTAGAGCCAGAGCTGCTTTCAGGCAGTGCTTCCCATTAAACCGCCTTTATAAGGACATCACCAGATAATTCTCCATAGAAATTCCTGTCCACTTAGAGGAGATTACAAAAATGAACAAGATGTAAAATTACACCTTAAGCACATTTTTAAACTGAAGAGTACAGAAATCTAAATTCATAGGTTAGACAAATTGAGGTTAATTTGCCAATAAAATACCATTAATTAAGATATAAAATACCATTAAGGAGAATGAAAGTTGGATTGATGTCAATAATACGACAGTGATCCATTCTCCCTTTTTAAAAAAAGTGGTTTTAATTAACAGATAATAGGAAAGATAATCAGGTATAAATGCCAGAGGATATAAAACAGAGACAGAGACGGGAAACATATAATTAAGTACATCAGTGAGTAGCAGGTGATGCTGAAACATCTTAGAGAAACAAAGATGCTTCACTTCAGCGAACATGAAGAGATTCATTTCTCTTTATTGGTGCTTTGGAATCTTGTAATAGATTGTACAAAGTTCAACCTTTCAACGTACATCTGATCATCCTGATGGTCCCGGGTGTTCTTTGTCTTTGTCAGGTTTCTTCAGACGCAGCTATTTAAAGTCACATCTGCGCCAGTGAATTTTTCAGATCTTCAGATCGTGCCTGAGTACCGTCCCCTTCAACCGTGCCTACGGTCACCTCACCCCCCCCACCCCGGCTTGGCATCATGCTCTACCATGACGCTACCCTGTGTGAGGGGCACTATATAAATGCAAGTTAATGTTGTTGAATTCTCATGAAGAATGTAATTACAATTGTAAACTGAACTGCCAAACTATTACGTCATTTGCAATTTTTCAACAATCTAAAATTAAGTTTGTTATACTTCCATTGAATGAGTCAACAAAAACAACAACAAATTCAGGCAGTTCCCAGCCTAAAAGATGTCTTCCTGCCACCAGGAATAGCATAAAGCAGTCTGGTAACACATATGTATTTTGGGATCAATTTGTCAGAGGAATTCTCTCCGCCCCAAGCTGGAATGGTGGAATGGCAGAGTTGGGTCTTGGGAGATTCGGAGTCATAATAATCTACTGGAGGATCATAGATTCCTTTAGCACAGAAGGAGACCATTCGGCGCATCGTGCTTGTGCCAGTTCTTTGAAAGAGCTATCCAACTTGTCCCATTCCCCCTCTTTCCCCATATCCTTGCCAATTTTTTTCTTTTGAAATATCCAATTCTCTTTACCACTTTTCCCTTTGCCAATATGCTTTACATTCTGGAGAATACTTGTCTCTGGAGACGAAACTCAGTGTAGATGCAGTGTGACTTTATGAAGACTAAATGACAAGAACCCTGCGATTGTCTTCACACTTAGCTGTTTAGTGAAGCCTCCACATCTGTAGCAACAGTAGAAACTTGCAAAGTTGACAAAAACTAATCAACGGTCCTGATCTGCAAATGCCACATTCCAGTTCAGAAACTCTCCACTCGAGAGAGCTTTGCTGTTCAAACACCAAACTCTAATCCACGCAGACTATCATAGCGTAAAACTCAACTATACCATAAACTCCTAGCAAACATGGAGCTAGCCACCAAGCTAGGAACTTATGAAATAGCCCTATAACAGCAACCGATTCATCAGGTCTAAGTTTCAAAGGGTTTTCATTTGCAATTGTTTCTAGTTCTCTATTTTCCCCACCAGCAGACAGTGTGGCACAAACACACATTAAATGATGAGAATTTCACTCCGATTTGAGTAACATATTGCCAAGAAAAGGCTACAATTTGAGAGAGAAATTGGTATTATATCAGGGTGCAAAATAGTGGAATAAATATGATGTGGAGCAAATGAGCACTCATCCACCCCGACACAACTAATATTTACAAGTGCCCTGAAGATGTTAAACTGCACCCTAATAATATGTTTGACATGATCAAACAATCTAGAAAAGAGAACATCAACTGAGGTTCCAAAGAGAGAACGTGAACAGACAGTCAGATCAGATGTAATTAATTTACGTAGAGCGGTGAATTTGTGCAATAAACTACCCAGGAGGGCGATGCTGGCAGATGACGTCAAGAATCTAAAATGGAATTTGATTAGGTATTTGGCAAATAATTCATTTGAGAGAGATTAATATTACAATTATTTATTTCTTTAAAATCTTTAGGACCGGCTAACGTTGTTGTTTTGTGTCCTGTAGATTGACGCAATTCAAGCACTCGCTGGTCAGTTTGGGGTTTGCAGTTTCCCTCATTCACAGTCGAAGCTCCATTATTAATGAAACTCTGAGCAGTTTCTTCTCAATCTCGCTGCTATACATCTCCCTTCTGTCATCTCCCCCACACTGAATACCGGAATGATTAAACGCCCAGTCTCCCCACATACGTCGAAGCCTGACAACATGTCCCTGGTCTTGTGGTTTCTGAACACGTTTCAAATGCAAGTAGCTAATCATTTCCAGCCTCAGAAGTTGGCCAATTTCACACAGCTGCTCTAAAATTCTTTCTGTTGGTTAAAACTGGTCTGCAGCCTTAATGGGAGTCCTGTAGTTTAGTGGCTAGAGCACTCGCCACACAAGCGAGAGGAAATCGGTTCGATGTATGTGCAGGCCTGACATGCTGAAAACGTAAGCACTTCCCGACAGATTGTTGTGCAGCACTGCACTTACATTTTCAACACTGATGACGCATTGCAACAAGCGGCAGTTCTGGGCAGTCGTGCTATACTCTGAAACAACACGCAGCGCCATTCACGTCCTGCGTTCCTGCACTGACCCACGAGTTCTGAGATAACACTTTCAGTCAAGTTGGCGCGTCGGGCTGTGGGCCCGATTCTCTGCAGCCGACATCCTGGGAAAACCAGCTGACGACAAAGTCTGCAAACTATACCATCGATCAGCACAGTAACTCACCTGACAGGTTCATCCGCAACCCCTCCGGCTTCCGCTCCAGCAATGCTGTCCATCTCACAGTACAGCAACAGCCTAGGAAACAGCGGGGTGTGGGGAGAGAGAGAGAGAGAGAGAGAGAGAGTCATTAGCTGCACAGAACAAGTTCTGACACCGAACATTTAATTACAATTTCATAATCATTCTCAAAATCAAAGTAATCAGGTATCTGGAGTTTGAAACGATTTCTGTTTTGCAGCCTCAGCAAATTTGATCCTCCAAGAGGGGGCAATTCTCCTGCTCGGACTCTAAAATGTCAAGTCAATTTAAAATATAGACACGCACAGTAAATTAGTTACAGCAAATTAAACCCAACCACTTTCAACAGCATCATTATCACGAGCAAATAATTGTGTGAAATCTGACAAAGCGAGATGTTTTTATCTGTCATCAATTTGATGTGTTTCTGGAGATTTCTGGATAAATAACCAATCGATACCAACAATGACCCTTCCCCCTCGGACCCCCCCCACCCACATCTCATATTCAGACCGTAATCAAAATGGTGTTCTAGTAAATCCTCCTCCCCAATCGTTCAGCCAATCTGGTATTATCTTGTAAGTTTGAAGCAAGTTTTGTCATTATAGAAGATGTGATGGCTTATCAACCCATCTAAATCTTTGGTCTCTCAATCACAGTTGAACCCCAGGAACTCACTAACTGTTACTTCAGCACAAAGCTCCTGGCTCTTCAAAAATGATAAGAATTCAGTCTGACAGAAAGCTACACAAATCAGCCAGGCCACGTCATTAAGCACTTCCCACATGGAAAGTAAGATTTTGCTTTCCAAACCCTTGCTTCCCTTTGTCGGCAATGTCTTTGTCAATCTCCCACTCTACAAATTCTCTCTTATTATGTCGTTGAGACGTCTCAAAGCACTTCATAGAATATATTGAAAAGTGGATTCACTGTGTATTTTGGGGGCAAAACAGGGCAGCCAATTGCGCACAGCAGTGTCCCACAAACAGCCGTGGATTGAGTGATCAGATTTTTTTAGGAAGGATTATTACCTCTGGAAAATGATCCACCAATTGACTAACAACCGGGTTCCTACTTACTACAAGTTAAACAGAGGCTTTTTAGTGTTTCTTGTTTTAAAGCGAAATAGATGTAACTTGCATGGAAAGGATCTAAAATGGTCTCTGTGCCACGAAGGCCGAGGACGATTGTGGTTACAGGGATGAACACTGGCAAATAAGTAGATCCACATTTGATGAATTGACAAGGACAGAGAGATGAAAAGTCCTCCAGCATTTCCCAGACGGCATGTGGCATTAAACATAAAGCCCAGCCTTGCTAGCCAGCAGCTCATCCATCTGCAAATGGCTTGCTAATAGACTGACTTGGCTGGAACAAAGGTAGCTATTCAACAGCACCTCCGTTTCCAAATTGCAACACACAGCTTTAAGTTAATGAATAATTCTCAACACAAACCTTCCAACTGCTCATTTCAATTAGTCCCAGAACTACGTCACAGCATTGTTCCTCTGGCGGGTATTGACCTGATTTTACATGAACCCTGAATCGCAATAACCGGCTGCTTTCACCCAACCAACACTCTCCGAGACTGAACATTTCATACATCAACTTCCAATCCACAACCTTAACTCTCACAGGAGAGTAAGTGGGCAAGCAACCGTAACCTGGCATTCTCTCCTCGGAGCTGAACTGGCTCTAAGGTGACATACGTGGCAATGGAATGTCGGAATCGAGCCTCTGTTTGTGGAGGTTATCGGTAATCCTTCTCCTGGTTGTTCTCTTATACCCTTTAACATCCTTAGTTATCAAGCAAATACAAGTTAGCTTTTTAAAAACTTGGACTATTTAGCAATTTTACTGTGCGTATTGTACTTACTGTATTATGTTGGATATGGGAACACTAAATGTGGACTAACACAGAGCGGGAGAGTGTTGAATTGCCCAGTACTAACCTGCACCATCTCAACAAGCACCAAACTCATCCAAAATCACACTGAAAAGAAAAAAAAATGATTCCTAACTTCAGTGAAGCATTCTTAGCAAACCTCTGCTTCACAGCGACCTGTTGCTCTATCAATCTCCAGCCCTCCAGTGTCAGAGCCAGAACTCAAAACTTGCCAGAACAAATCACAGCTGTTGTTAAACATTTTAAGAATTTGAATGTCCGCCTGTTACACTTGGGTGTGGTGCCTCTTACATGGTAATTTCACGGCGAGCGTTTACTTGGGGGACGCAGGAGGAATTAGTGAGAAGCTCCTCTCCAGACACATCCACATTCCTGCATTTAGATGAGCTTTGTGAGAGGCAACGGTCAGGGAGTTTCAATTTGAACGTGTTCCGATTAAATTAACCAGTGTGAAAGCAACTACACCGGCAATTTGTTTTTGCCAAAATGTAGCCTAAAGTTCTTAATTTCACCGGAATCATACAAGAGGCAGATGGATTGCACATTCATATCATAGAATCATAGAATTATACAGGACAGAAGGAGGCCATTCAGCCCAGCGTGGCTGTGTCGGCTTTTTGAAAAGAGCTATCCAATTCAATCCCAAACTTCCACTCTCTCCCCATAGCCACGCAAATCTGTCCTCCCCAAACTTGTCCTCCCCAGACGAGCCTTTAATTTCCAATTCCTTTTTAATTTCTTACTTTCATTCAATCCACAACTGTTTGTGGGACACTGCTGTGCGCAATTTACTCCCACATAGCTCCCACAAAATACACAGTTAATTCTCTTTACAGTATATTCTTTGAAGCACTTTGAAGAGTCTGAAGAAAGTGATAAGGCGCTATATCAAATCCAAGGATTATTATTAATATTATTTCATCAGCTCTAGGGTCTTTCTTTTTCAATATTCCCAGTGCAACACTCACCAATTCTAGACCTTCAGGGCACTATAACACAGTCCCTGCACAATCACCACAAGACTGTAATCACCAGATCCATTCCATAAGTATTGCAGGAATGAAACCATTCTTGTATAGGAAATATTCATCTTCTATAACATCCTCGGGGGCAACCGGAACTGAGTAGGGGTCGCCGAAGCATTTCAGTGACTTTCTTTTGTTTTTTTGATCAATGAGCCACAAGATGTTTGGCCAGATATTAAAGCTGCTCGATGCAGTCTCCAGCAAAGCACCCAAGCAAAGCAGAGTTACAGTAAATTGATCAGGAGCTATACAGCTATACAGAGGCTATTGAAAGGCACAGGATGTTTAGTGAACTTTGAATGCATGATGTGATGTAAATTACAGCAGTTGGAGGTCTATAAAATTCCAACCAACAATGAAAATAATATCTCGGCAAATTCTTATGCTCTTAACCAGAGCTACACCGGCACTCCACACCATAAGCAAACCCATTTTATAATGAAGCACTTTATAACTGGGCTCTTAATGGTCCTTATCAACAATCAACTTTAAATATCTATCAGCTCTTAACATTGATTACAAATAACCTCACTGGCAACGACTCAGACAAAAGCGAATACATCTCTCTAAAGGTTATTGGTTAATAACCACATCAGCATATTGAACTCCTGAAAAGCAGCCGTGGATGGAGAGAGGTTCATTGACCCTGAAGCATAAAAACTCTGTTGCAGACAAAGCAATGTCCGAATAGAAAAAAGCTTTGTTGCTTGAGTCTCAACAACGTGAGAAGGCATTATATCAAATGCAAGCATTATTATTATTATCATCATCATCATTATCTCTGCTAAAAATGTGAAAGGGGAGAGGATTGGATGCATCTATGTCATTCCCCAAGGTGGAACAGCTGCTTGTGAAGCCAAACCCCAGTGTGAATTTGCGACTCAAGTAATAAAAATTGTGAAAATAAAAATAAAAATAATGGGAAAATTTGTAAGGACGTATTTAGGGTTTAGAACATATTTACAAATTGTTGGGAGATTTTATACAGGAGTAGGGAAGCAGAGGCAATACACATGAGATGAGGCAACAGTAAGGAATGTAAATATGAAACATCGCCTGATTTCATCCCTGTATTGCATTTACCTCCCAGCACAGAAACCTCAGCTAACAATAGCACGGTTTATGACCTGCCATTGCCAAAGTGGATTGAACACTTACAATGATAATAACAATCCTTGCATGTCATATAGTGCTTTATCACATCATGGAGCCGTCTCAAAGCGCTTCACAGAATATAACGGAAACTGGTGTGACTGTATTTTGTGGCAGAGACGTAAAGCTAAAGGAAACGTGTTGCTCCTCTAAATCGTGCCCATCTCCCAACGGCAAGAATATCTACCCCGACAAACGTGAGAAATCTCAAGCGTGGAGAGGTCTGAAATACTATCGCTATCAATTCACAGCATCAACAAACATGACACTATAACCTGACACTGTCCCAAAAGCAGGGACATTTCCTCAAACAGTATACACTCTGCCAGAAAGTCATTCTAGGCAGTTATCTTTACCAGCACACAAGCTCGGCACAGGTTTATAATAATAATAATCCTTGCATTTGATACAGCGCCTTATCACATCTTCGCGACGTCTCAAACCGCTTCACAGGATATACTGTAAAGTGTATATTCTGATTGGACACCATTGAAAAACACCCAGAGCCTAGATTGTAAATGAAATACACTGGAGGATCCAAAGGAGGATTGAAAGATTCAAAAATCCCCAAAAGAGTTAAAAAAAATCACAACATAGCACTCTGTGAGACTTGGATGGATCAAAGGAGAACTGAAGTTAATTTAGTCCTGACTCCCACTGCAGTGCAATAACTTATTGATGTGAAATTCCGACTGATTTGAGTCCTGAGTCAAGCTTAACCTTGGCTTCGTCCCTCTCTGCCCTGAGGTAGCTGTTAGCAAGGACGGCACTGGTGCGATCACTCATGGTGCCTTAAACCTTTTTTATAGTGTTTGTGTCCTGAACACTCTCCAGTCCTCCCTGTCGGACGGAGGTGGATGTGGGAGGTACAGCACTGGATGAGGACTGGACGGCGCTCGTAGATTTACATAGAATGTACAGCACAGCACGGAAACAGGCCATTTGGCCCAACCGACAAAATATACAGTCAATTC